TAGACCCCGAAGACGCTTTCCGCAGACGAATTCTCCGAAGACGAATTAGACCCCGAAGACGAATTAGACCCCGAAGACGCTTTCCGCAGACGAATTCTGATGGCAATGTTGGATCGGATTGAGCAGATATGTGCCGATGGCTGAAGATGCAGTTTATAGCAGCAGAAATCTTTGATTGCCGCTTCATGTGCTGTGTGCAATGTCCAATTGTTGCGCTGTGTGTTCTGCCATATCTTGGACATGTGTTGGGGTTGCCTGCTGCTTCAACAGTGTCAAAACGGCCCCTGCTACGAAGAACCGTTTCGTGCAGTTTGGAGCATCAGACGGGGTCCTGTCACGTCAGGGAATGCGGCGTCACAATGTGGCGTCAGGGGGTAATGCGGCGTCAAAGGGGCCATGTGGCGTCAGGGAATGCGGCGCCAGAATGCGGCGTCAGGGAGTAATGTGGCGTCACGGGCAAATGCGGCGTCAGGGAATGTGGCGCCACAATGTGGCGTCAGGAGGTAATGCGGCGTCAGAGGGGCAATGTGGCGTCAGGGAATGCGGCGCCAGAATGCGGTGTCAGGGGGGAATGCGGCGTCAGGGGGGGATGCGGCGTCAGGGAATGTGGCGTCAAATGTGGCGTCAGGGAGTAATGTGGCGTCAGGGGAGGAATGTGGCGTCAGGGAAGAATGCGGCGTCAGGGGGTAATGTGGCGTCAGGGGGTAATGTGGCGTCAGGGAATGCGGCGCCAGAATGCGGCGTCAGGGGGTAATGCGGCGTCAGGGGGGAATGTGGCGTCAGGGAATGTAACGTCGCAGTACTAGGAAAGTGGCGCCATAATGTGGCTGCAGCGTCAAGGTCAAAAGCGGGATCCCGTCTGCCGCCGCCCTGTATAATTCTATATAATTTAATTCTAATTTAATTTAAGTCTAATTACTAATTAATTGTTACTAGTAGTAAGGCACTTGTTACTAGAAGCGATGCACTTGTTCCTAGTAGCGAACATTGTTCCATATAGAAATATTTGTTCGAGAGCTTTGGCACCTCTTTTCGCTTTTGGCGACTGGAAGCCCACGAGACCGAGGTGCAGGGCCTGCAGGAGTTGTGGCTCCCGTTGGGGCGCCAGGCTCGTTCTTTGCGAGTGCTTTTGCAGCGACGTGAACGCTTGGCCTCCTTGGTGTGGGCGATGTCTGTGACGAGATGGCAAAATTGGACAGGGGGAAGGTGGCAAAATGGGCCGCAAGGGGCGCAACACGTTTTGGAAAGTAGAATCTGAGTAGAAGTAACGAAAGTCGCAGTCGCAGAAGTCGCCAAACGTAAAAAGAGGATACACGTTTTGCCTTGGCCTTAAGGTCACGCAGCAGGAGTTTGATGAGGTGTTCGACTTGAAGTTCCCGGATGAAGAGGACATTCTGGTGAACCGCTGGAGGGCCAAGTATGAGGAACAGCGCAAGTCTGTGGATCTCCTAAAGCAAGAGCACGATGCAGACTTAGCAAAGATGAACCAGCGAATCCAGCGGTCCAAAGACAAAACCAAAGCTGTTCTGGAGCTGTCAGGCACCGTGGTTTGGCAGTGCATCTTGGTGAAGTGTTAGGAGATTTTTTGAACTATTCTTTGGTGCCCTTTGGCTGTCAACCTGTGGCGGAATGTTGTGTTCGAAACCTGAGCGGATAGCAGCCAGCACTCAGCCACACATCCTACCAAGGCCTGGTAAATGTGGCCTTTTGTGCATGGGCTGGGTGGGTGGGAGAGGAGAAGAACCAGCGGCAGTTTGATCAGCTGGCGGAGGATTCCAGGCTCTTTCAGGCCCGCAGCGAGGGGGCCAAGGAAGCAGCACTGCAGGAAGTTCGGCAGCTTGAGCAAGAGAAGGACACCAAGCGGGAACGACGTTCTACGACCTTTTCAATTCTTTGGTGCCCTAAGTCAGCCGTGGTAAGTAGGCAGGACATGTTGTTGCAATGGCAGGGGCTTTAACATGCCTTGACTCGGCACCGTGCACCGCAGCTTCGACTAGGAACGTGCTATTGTTCGAGAGCAGAGCCTTCGCGAGAGCTGGCGCCGAAAGGTCTCAGAGTTGAACAGCATGATGCAAAGAGCCGGTCTCGGTTTGGTGACACGTGCTTTCATGAAGTGGGTGCAATTCTTGCAGCAGAGGGAGGCGCTGGCAAGAATGAGCGAGAGGCTACTGGAGCGAGGTAGCAACTATACCAAGCAGATGGTGTCCATTTCTTGTTGAGAATTCTCTTTCATTTTTCTTGGGTCTAGTCTTATCGGAAGAAGCTTCTCCATTGTTCTCAGTCTGAGTCGAGGAAGTCACTCAGGTCTTCTTAGCCTGGCAGTCGTTCTTGGGAGACTTGGCTTGGTCAGAGCAGACGAAGCAGGTGGAGATCAAAGAAGCTGCTGCTTTGGAGGCGGTGCGGCAGTCGCTGGGCGCCCTTGACACCGCTGCCGAGCGCCTGGCGCGCTGCGACCGGCTGCACGAAGCGCTGCAGAGCTGGCGAGGGGCGACGCGTCGGCATCGACGGCGCATCGCAGGCGGAACGGGCCGGGTGAAGGGGCGAAAGCCACCGGCCGATGGGGTATCTCATGATGATGTTTCCCGTGGCAATTTGTTTCTCTCCCTCTCTCTCTCTCTCACACACATACATATATATATATATAAAATATCTCCCGCATCATCGGGGGTCCACAGATCGCAATCTGCACCTGGCATATAGCCTCACGTGAGAGAAAAGGTAATTCTTCATTCTGCGTTCTTTCTGGCGTTTTGGAGGCGTTGTGAACTTCACCGCCAAGCGTGTTGATACAGCGGCTGCTGGGCTGCTGGGCCTTTTCTTCTTCCGCTGGCATTCTTCGACCAGCGGCCGCTTTGGAGCCCGGCTTCAGGCCGAGCAAAAGGCTCAGCAGGAGGTGCTGAAGCGGCGTCGGCTGCGAACGCGGTCGGTGATGCAGCTGCCGTGTGAGGGCCTCCGGTGGCATCTCGCGAAGCTGGCGTTCGGCTTGTGGCAGGATGTTGCGAAGCAGACTCGCACCCAAAAGGACTTGGAGCGGCAGCTGTCGGAGAGGGAAAGTGCTCAAATTCAACTCGGCAGCGGCCGCAAGGCGCGTGCACATGATGGATCATGGCTCGATTTGGAGTCGATCACCCAGTGAGCATAAATAGGAAATGATAAGAGTTGAGTGAAGAAGAGTTGATAAGAGTCCCAAGAGTGAAGTGAGTTGAGTTGAGCATGGAGTAAGAAGCGTTTTCCTCCGGTGCCAGGAACTCAAGACGATGCAGGCGACTGCGGCGGAAGAAGATGCAGCCTGGGAGTCTGAACGTAGCAACTTACATGAACGACTTCAACACCTACAGGCCAGGCAGCAGGAATCCAAGAAGCAGTTGCATGCGATGCTGGACAAGCGCTCTCAGCTGGACTTGTGCTCAGTTGGTTGTGGTTAGTTTTGAAGGCTCTGATGTGTTCCAGGCTTGTCATTGCAACCGTTTGATCACTGTATTGAGGAAGTGCTGCAGGACAACTGGGATCCAAAACTTATGGCCGGACACACCACTCTTTTTCTTACCTATGGCCCAGAAAGAGAGGCTGAATCCAAGGGAGCATGCCACTCGCTCACCCACTTTCGCTTTCTTTGCTGTTTCCTTCGGTTGTCACATCTTCTCCACTTTTGCTCTGGCTCCTTTTCCTTTGGGCTCGAGTCAGGCGCCCTTTGAACCAAAGGTTGCCTTCAAACCACATCGCACGCGACAGGCGTCTTGACCGCCGAACTTCCCGTTGTCCGTTGCGCGCCTTCTGCCATGTTTTGCTGCTGCGCCGCGGAGCCGGGCCCGGCGAATGAGATGCCGTTTGGCGGCAGCGAGGAGAAGTTCCGGGATGCCTTCGTGAAGACCGCGCCAGCGATGGCGTCGCCAGACTTCATCCCAGTGGCTGGGCGCAAGCCGGACTTCCTTTTTTCACCTTTCAATCCCTTTGACTAAGGCTTTTAGAGAGGTTTTTGGTTTTAATCATGGCGTCGCATGAAAACATGGCAGATCGAATTGGATATGTATGTTTGCTTGTAGCTCGCGCTCGAACCTCTGGCTTTTTCAGTCCCGACGCATTGAGGATGTATTCGAGGTGAAGCTGAAGGATGGGTCCCATGGCATTGTCATTGATGTCACCGTGCCCCAGCTGAAATGTGTGCGTTCAATGCTCTAAGCGCGCAAAAAGCGCGCTAACAGGTCACTTGCTCTTTCTGGCGGCGCTTTGTTCTGCCGACCTCAGGACCCAGACTGCACCATTATCAAGAATCTCCGTGCTGAAGGTGGTGCCGCAGAGTGGAACAAGACAGCCTCTGAAGGGAAATGCGTCAAGGAGCCAGCTCAAAAAAACGCTCGAGCGCCAGCTCAGAGACGGCTCCAGTGCTGGTTTCTTTCGATTTGTTTTGCCTGCCGATCTGCCCACCTCTGTCAGTTGTGTTGAATGATGAGGCCCTGAGGCCCTGTCTCATTTGCCCCATGAACTCCCAGGAGTTCGACCGCGTTCTGGAGGTGAATGGCGTCCGTGGATCCAGCGTGGAGATGGCGACAGCACTGGGCTCTGACAATGAGCCTCTGACGCTCACCTTGCAACGCCCTGAGGAGCGAACTGTTGCTTGGCCGGCTTGGGTCGCTTGGGGAAGGTTTGGAGAGGCATAGAACCCATAAGACTCTGGAGATCACCAATGAAACGAGCTTTTTGTGTCTCCTTGCATGAGTATTTCCTGCCTGCTCAGTCACTGGTCTGTTTGTTCGTGTCCAAGTTCGCTGTAAATATGTAAAGTCACGAAAGCTAGCGAAGCTAGCTGGAAATACTCTTGCGATAGCAAGGTTTCTTTCGACCGGGTGCAAATCCTAACCCCTGATTTTTCAGGTCGAAGACCCCCCCCCCTCTCCCCACCTCCCCCCCTCTCCTCCTCCTTGTCTTCCTCCCATCTTCCCTCCCTCCCTCCTCCCTCCTCCCTCTTCGCAAGTTCGACTCCGTCCTGTCGTCGCTCTTTGGCATGCGGTTAGCGTTGCGTATCTTGCGGCCGCACTCGCTCACTCTCACTCTCACTCTCTCACTGTCTCACTGTCTCACTGTCTCTCTCATCTCTCTCATCTCTCTCATCGCTTTCTCATCTCTCTCATCTCTCTCTCCTCTCTCTCTCTCTCTCCTCTCTGTCTCTCGTCTTTCCGTCTCTCTTCTCTCTCTTCTCTCGCAGGAGGATCCGGGCAAAGAGCCACATATAAAGGACTCTTCACCCCTGCCTCCAAAAAGAGCGCCGTGTTTTTTCCTACCTCGCTGCCCTCCACTTTCCCATTCTGGAGCGCTAGCTTTCGCCCCCCCCTTGGCCTCAAGTTCATGTTCTGGCGTTCTGGCGGCCGGACAGGCAGGATGGCTTGCAGGCACCACAGTGGGCTCTAAGAGGTTCAGTGAAACACACCAGGTCTCGCCAGGTGAGCAGCGTTCAAAACCTGAATGCAAGAACCACATGATCCGATTAAACTGCAAGACTGTCGCGTAAGCTAAAGTCTGCACGGCGTAAGGGTTGCGTAAGGTTCGGTGGAAGCCAAGCTTGGGAACTCGATGTGTAAGAGGTGCGTAAGCAATTTTGAGTTTTTGCTGAGAAACACTGCAAGCAGAAGAGGGTTGTGGACTCAATCTCTCAAAGGCCCTGTTTGCAGGGGTCGAGTGGCCCAAGACCACACGAATTCCGCGTAAGCCCCGCGTAAGCCGATTCGTAAGGTTTGCGTAGGCGAACTTCTCAGATGAAGCCCTTTGCTCACGTCCACCAAAGGTTTTTCTAAAGAAACCAAAGCAAGCAGCTGAGCACTTTTCAAGCACAAACCGCACTGTGACCCTCGCTCCAACTGCTTGGTCCCCATGGCTGACAAAAAGAAGCAGCGGGCTCCACCAAGTGAATCATACAAGCAAAGTGTAAATTACTTTACTTCGAGTGATCCCCGGGAGTGCCCACTGCGATCTGGGGCTTGCGGTTGAGGTCCGGGAGTGCCCACCGCTGTTTGGCGCATGCTGTTGGAGTCCGGGATTCCCCACTGTGATCTGGCGCTTGCTCTAGTGAAGCGGGGCAGAGGAGAAGGAGAGGGATCATCTTCTAAAATCTACTGTAACCACCCTCACATGACAGGTTGGGAACAAAAAGTGTTCACCGCTCTGGTGCCAAAACGCCGGTAACAAAGCCGCCGCGTAAGAAACGCGTAAGCCCTAAGAGAAAGAACATCACCGCGTAAGCGAAAACATTGGTAGCGTAAGCATTGCGGAAGCCGACGCGTAAGCAGAGAAGGATTATAAGGCCAAGACTAAAGGGTTTCGACCACCGCTCAGGTGGAGCCGTGCCCTAGACTCTCTAGACAGTCTGAGACCTGGAGGTCAAACTGCAGAGGCCTGGTGAGATTGGGGTCGTGCTGAACTACAAGAAGCTCGGCTCCAAGGCCCCGTGGATCACCAAGATCAGTCCCGGCCTCCTCACCCGGTGGAACGAAGACATGCCCGACCAGGCCGTGGGCCTTCATGACCGCGTGAAGTCGGTGAACGGAGTGACGGGAGCGCCAGAAGACCTCATGAACGGCATCAAGGATTCCAAAGAATCGTTGGAACTCTGCGTGCTGCACTACGGCTTCGGCTTCTGAGAGCAGAGCGAAGGAAGCCTTCGGCTGAGTGGTCGCCACGGGATCGCAAAGGTGATCACTGGAGGCGACGACGAAGTCGTGCCCTAGGCCCTAGACCAGCCTTTTGACCAGACTGCCCCTTTTCATCCTTTTCACACGAGAACCACGAGAGGCATCTAGAATCTAGACGTGCCATGGAAAAAATGCCGTCGTTTCGTTTCACGTGCATTCATGTAACATGTACATTCCTAATATTGCCAAAGTTCGAGGGCTTGAGCATGCAAGCAGTCAAGCAATGTTTGCAAACCACACCTTTTCAATCCCCCTTTCGCACCTCTTTCTTTTCCGACTGCTTTACGCATATGTTATTCTTTTTGGGAACCTCACTCTGGAACTAACTGAGCTGTTGCAAGGCAGCGTTCTTGACTGTGAATTGCACTCTAGGAGAAGCAGATGGCGCGCCTTCAGCACTTGCGACGTGAAGTTGGGATCGAGTGACTTTGAGCCAAAAAAGGGCTGTTGCCGGTGCGTCCATTATGACAATGATGCAGTTTGCGCATGATCAACTGGATCCTTGATACCCCACTGACCCGTGATAAAAAGCACCTGTTCTCAGAAACGATTGGAACAAAGCCGGCATTCCACAAGGTGATCTTAAAAACCCACGCAAAAGGATCCCAAAACGCCAGTGGCCAGTACTGACAGGCCGACTGGCATGCCTTGGCATGACCGACGAAATCTCGTCGTCTAGCGTGAGAGGCTCGTGGCCCTCTTTGAGCACAAGCTTCAGTTCCTGGAGCCCGCAGGCACTCGGTCGAGCGCCGTGTGCCGGCCTCGTGCCCTCGCTCACGTCGGTCCCGACCGACCCCGTGGCACCGTGACGAACCGTGGCAGGGGCCGTGGCGGTCGCCGTGGCCGCACCTGAACGACCGAAGGAAGGGCCCGAGGAGCGCCAGCTGCGGGGCGCGCGGCCGCGAAGCTCCGAGCCCATGATCGCCGGAGCCTCCCGGACGGACTCCGACACACGGCGATCGCGGAGCACTTCCACGCCCCAACGTTCGTGCCTGCGAGGAGGCTCCGGCCGCCCCCGAGCCGTGCGAGGTGGGCCGGTGTTCGTTTGGGGGCGATGGATGAAGATGGAGATGGAGTCTGCAAGGTGTACCTTTTTGCGCGTCCTATGTGGTAGGTGACTTGTACATCCGGTGGTTGGTGATCTCACGACCCGTACGGAGGCGGTGCCAGCTCCCGCAGCTCCACCGGAGGATGAGGCCGGAGGATCGTGCCAGTCGGGAGATAAGCGGATGTGTTGGATTTGGGATTGTGCTTCCAGTCAGCAGGATTCATAGGTGGGACGGCCCCGGAAAGGACGGAGTTGGTTTTCCTCGTTGGTTTGCCACGGTCCCCCAAATGGATGACCGTGGCACGGTCCCCCCAAAAGGACATGCTCGAAAAGGGATTTTTATTACTTTTCTCTCTATTTGGGGGGTCATATATGAGGCTGGCTAGACTCTAGACCAATGGCTGAAGAAGTGCAAAAAGAGGGGATAATATACATAATCAGTGTTTTAGTCCGTGTGACGCTGGTGTTTCCGTTCCCTGCTGCAGAAATACGCGGTGTATCGCCGCATGCATCGGACTGGTGTGATGCTGCCTCAGCCTGCAGAATCCGCAGCACGTTGGTGAGGAAGAGAGAGGTACAAGCATGGAGAGAGGCAGCATGGTTGTCATAGAGAGAGGCACATATGCACATAAACTGATCGATTGAGCAGACTTGTGCTGTGGTATATTATGGTTTTGTTTTTGAGCGTTGACCTGAATGTTGACACATGTTGACACCAAGGCCCCTCCTAGCTATTCGCCAGAAGTTGCTGCTGGATGCCCTGCAGGAGACCACGCGGCATTTTCTGACAAAATGAATGATTCCGGTGTTGGTTTTGGCCTATGGTGCTACTATCCACTTTCTCTCTTCATGTTTTGCGCATGGTGCATTGTCAGCATTAAGGACCCGTCCTTGGATGTAGCTATTCTCGATACCTTCGACGGTCAAGTGCTCAGCCTTTCCTTGGTGCTGATTTCCTCACGGCAGGCGTCCTGCTTTTCGGATTTCACCTGTGCCAGGTGCAGCAGGTACCGGTGCTGGCGCCCCCATCGCCAAGCCTGCCAAGGCACCGCCCAAAATGGAGGTGGAACCCAAGCAGGCTGGCGACCTGAACATCTCATGTGATATTTTTGCTGTTCCTGGTGTGCTCGTGCGTTCGCAAGAGTGACGGAGATGAGGCAGAGGATCACGAACCACCAGCCACTCCGAAGCAGAATGCCAAAGAGCCGGACGTCTCCCAGGAGGCCCCGCGACTTCCGCCCTCGCCGCGGACTCGCGAACCACCTGCGCGGCGTGAGACATCACGCGTGCTGCCGCGAGGCCGAAGCTTCCCCACCGCCCATGCCAGCACCAAGCCACATCCTCAGTCAGGGGGAAGTGGTGCCGAGTTCTTCTTTCCGGCTTGGGAAGGTGCAGAGCCCGCCAGCCTGGCTGCTGCTGCCACTGGGCTGTGATGCACAAACACGCGCGTTTCAGACTACACTGATGAGCTTTCTGATGAAATTCACCAGTTAATGCTTTTGACCCAGCTTTTGAACCAGAAGATCTCGAGCCCCGGTCGCACAGGCTGCCGCCATGGCTCAACGCCGCATGAGCCGTGCAGCACAGGCTGCGGCAGTGGTCAGAGTTTTTCCAGAAGCATTGTGGCCTCCGGGGGTTGAAACCAGGCGAAAGCTGAGCCAAAGAAGTCAGAGGCAAGGGTGTCAAAGACTTCAAGTTAGACCCCCATGAGGCATATAGTGAAGCTGGAGCAGCGAAGGAGAAGTTCAGGGACGAAATGATTGGACTCGTGCACTTTTTGTGCGAGTCGAGCCACGGATGATGCATTGGTTTCTGGTGGCCAGGCGGAGCCAGCAAAAGCCAGCGCAGCAGCACCTGCTGTCCCTAAAGCAGTGCACCAGAAGGTGGGGAAGGGATGATCACCAAACCACCAGGCCTTGTGACAGGGGGAGCACTTCTTGTTCATGGACATTTGTGCAGGAAGAAGAGCCTGCGCCAGCTCCGCAGGCCGCTCCTCCAGCGCCGGCGCCGCGCTGAAAAAGCCTCGAACCCGTTCGCCGTCGTTTGCCCCGCCGGTCGACTCCGAGCGTCGTCGATGACGAACGGGTCCAAGGTGCTGTTCGGACCAGCGGAAAGCACTGCCCCGAAGGCGGAGTGGTAGGGAGTGGTGGGGGGGGATGATGATGATGTCAGTTTCTTTATTCTTGGTGACTGCTGCTTTGAACACGAAGCCTGAGACCAACTGTCAACATTGAGGGCTTTCATGAAAGTTTCATCCGTGTTTTGGATTGGCCATTGGGGCCCATAAGGGAAGGCTCAGCAAGGGAAGACCATCTTTCATATGGCAGGCCCGCATGCCTCCACCCGCTCCGAAGGCGCGGACACGGACGTGAGAGGCCATGCACTGCACACGTTCACTTACTTGTAGGAAGCGCCGTTCGCTGTATTTTGTGATTGCTCCCTTTGAAGCCCCGTACCCCCATATATGCGCACAGATGTGTGCTTTTTTTGCTCTTGCCACTGTTTATATATGCAACAAATTGCACAATGCATTGCAAATTCAAAGCAGCCAAACAAAGCGCGAGTCCTGTGTGGTGGACGTTTTCTTCCCATCCACCTTGTGGAGATCAGCTGATCCGTCAAGCAGCTCCGAAGAGTGCTTTCATCAACTCAATCGACTCATTGATTCGGATTGTCCGATGATGGAACTTGGAACGCATGAGCAGACACAAGTGACATCGCAGACTGAGATCATCCCACAGACTGAGAGTCCTGCCACCTCTGGTGACACCAGGAAAGAAGAATAAAGAAGAGCCACTTTAGGTGATGAGACATGTCCAGAAACGACATGGAACAGCTAGACTCGACAGGATTTTAACCGAAAACCTATGTCAGGTACATTCCCCAAATCAATGGAAGTGGATGCCATTGGCGCCGAAAGGACCACCATGATCCACCAACAGCTGCTGCTGCTGCCATTCCGTAGCTTCGGTGGTGCCACCGTTGGTTCGATCCGGTCACCCCAAACGGCCCAGGCCAAAGCCAAGGCCTCGACGCCCTTGTCCCCGGAGGTGGCGGGCTTCCGGGACCCCTTCCACCGGCGGAACGGGTTGGCGGGGGTTAACGGCCCTCGGAACGGTGGGAACGGTGCGGTCTGAGGAGTGGAGTCGAGGAGTCGAGTGGCCGAGACATCAGACAGTAGACTCTTGGACGGTAGACTCACAGACCGGACATCATTACAAGGACTCTATGACTGTAGACTCTTGAGGAATGACCCCGCCCAAAAAAGAAAAGGATGTCCCATTCAAAGGAGGGGGGTTTACTAATCAAGAGCCTACATTAGATAGTTTGGAAGAAGGATGGCCGTCAAAAAGCCTGGTGCCAGGCTGCCCTGAAGCTGCGGCGTTCAGTGGTTGGGCCCCGAGTCCGTTGCTACAAGAGAAGTTCTTGCACATTGAGTCGCGGGAGAGTGCAGAGTATCACCACCTCCATGCATTTATCCTACATTGACAACTGGAGATTAGCAGAGGCGCTGCGATACGATTCGCACGTCTCACACCGGCAGGTCGCACAGGTGCAAGATGATGATGTGCAATCCGATGTGAGCGATTTCTGAAATGGGACGGCAATGTCATACTTCGACGCCCGTTCAGCTGGAGCCAGCCGGCCAGCCCTTGTTTCTAAGCCTACGAAGAACCGTGCCACTAGGGCAGAAACAGATGCAGCCTGTCCTCCTTTCCTAGTGTCTCTCGATTGCTTGAAGCATTGGTCCCATCTGAAGTCTCGTTTTGCTCCAGTTTGCTAGCCTGTGAAAGGTTTGAGGGGACATAAGAAGGAGGATTTGATGCCAAAGCGCCCGCTACAAAGCGGGCGGGCACCTTTGGCCTGCCCCCTGCGCAAATGGTGAAGTTCTTGCTTGCTGAATGTCCCAGATCTGATAGAGCTTGCTCACTTGACAGTTGATAGGAGCTTCCGATGCCTTTTTTGCGCTCTCAGCCATCATTCAGTTATTCCATGGAAAGCATATTTTGGGATGCCATTGTAGGACAAAAACATCATGCAGCTTCTTTGGTAGAAACATGTTCACATACCATCCCCCCCCCCACACATTTCCTTGAACGTCATTCCACCAAGCAAGTTGCACGTTCGTTCCTGAGCCCACTCGCTAGCCAACGAGTAAAACTGATCATAAACAACTCATTATATACTCTGTTTTGGCAGGAGCTAGACTCGTTTCTTCAGCAATCACCTTTGTAGAACTTGATACGTGCTCTTAGTTCCTTGAGCCTGGCCCTTCATGGATGTGGCTGGTGTGCCAGCTGCAGTCGCTCCAGTAGTCGGATTGTCACACTTTGCGCCCATCCAGCAAGGCTTGCACGATTACGACTTCTCACGATCCTGACAAAAAACTGGTCTTGCCACCCGGACCGATCCGCAACTCCCCCCAGCTAGGCGCCATTGGAGCTCTGGGGTCTTTGCCGGGAACGGTTTGTGCGCATCCTTTGGACGTGGTGAAAATCCGTTCCCTGGATGCACGGTCCCACATGGCCACGTGCCCTGATAGCCAGCACAGTCTAAGGCTTGCAAACAACAAAAAGTGGAGACTCAGCTGCATTTGACTGGTGGGGATGCTCCAGTCAGGACTCAAGCTTCCTTGCAGGACATGCTACTGAAGGCACTGAGCACGCAAAAGCCTCGGTGCGGCTCGAGGTTCGCTATTGGATGCGGCACGGGGCATTTTCCGGGACCGAGGAGTTCGCGGCTTCTATCGAGGCCGGCACCTGGAAGACTGGGACATGGACTCCTCGTTCTTCGGTTGGGAGTGCAGCACGGGTTTTGCAGCAAGCCACCCTGGTCAGAGGCTTGCTGCCTGCCTTGGAGCAACGCTTCCTCTCGAGGGGGCCCATGTTCTTGGTGTCGGAGGCTGGGAGAGCGTTGAAAACGGCGTGAGACCGCATTCAAGGTAGGATGGCTTGAATTTATGCCCGCGGCTAGGGGGCAGACTCCCCGCACACGTGGCCCTCATTTGAGGGGGGGGCGGGAAAAACCCAGCGTTGCAAGGTGAGCACCCAGGTGGTGGCAGAGCGCGTGCCATGCACGGAGCTGCAAGCACGTGCCTGCGGATCGGCCTTAAGCGGCTATGTCGTAGGACTGAAGTTGTGGGCCCTGGAGTTGTTCCCATTGGGTCCTCTAGCGCCAAGGCCAACAGGTGCCAGTCTACAATGGTTGGGAAAAAACATGTCCGGTACATGAACGGCAGAAACGCCAGCCAAGTGTTCCATCACACGCTTCATGCACATTCTATTTTCTCGCATGCTGAGTAATGATTCTTGTCGCTCCATCCTGCAGGATGCCTGCAGGGGGTGTCAGAGTACCGGAAGAAGCTCTTGAGTCAAGGAGTTGTATTAGCATCTGAAGCGGGCCACTTGGCACTTCACGAGGTTTTTCGGCACATGGCTGTGGGTCCAAACCCGGACCCCGAATCCGTGGTAGGTTGCCCTTGTAGTCTGTTCTGTTCATTTTCGGTGGCCAACCCCCCTTTTTGACCCAAAGGCCACATTGTTATCCTTTTTTAATGTGTGCCTGCTCCGAGAAGTTCTGCCGCTGATAGAGAGTCAGAGGTAGAATCCGTAGAGCCGTAGATTCGTTTTGTCGACTCGCAATTTTCGGGGGTTCCAACAGAGGCTATGTTGCATGCAGACATTGAATTTTTGATGACAGCTGTACATGGTTACACACCAAGACAGCAGGGTGCGGCGCGCACACAGTGGCAGACAGAGAGCCAGTGCTGGCCAGAGAGAGATATGGCGTGAGAGAGAGAGAGAGAGCGAGCGTGCAGGGTGGGGCAACATTTGCTCGCAAGCTTGGGGCGCTGGGCTCTTGCGGAAAGGGCTCCTCCGCCGTATGCATGCGGCAGTGCCTTGGTTCTTGTTGAGGAAAGGGATCCTTCCACTTCCACCCTCCTGAACTCTGTCGCGTGGTGCCCAAGCATTTTTCGCGACTTCCTTCCCTCAGACCGCGAGTTTGATCGTTGAAAGGCGCTTTGCTGCTCCGTCTTCGACAGCACCTTCTTTTGCACTCGCCGGGCCTCCTGGGTGCCGGGTTTTGGGCTGGGCTGCGGGTGGCGCGAGAGGGTTGCAACTAAGGGATGTCGCCAAGTTCAGGGTTGCAGATGGTTGGAACATGCGTCCTGCTTAGACGTCTCATTCCTCACAATGGATCCTCTCCGATGAACACATCGGAAGTGGATGGCGCCTCTTTGGTTTTGCAACATGGAATACCATTGGAAGACCCCCCACAACCGCCAGAGTCAGAGTCCATGTGACCGGAGTCAGAGTGGCATAGATGTCCATTGGTCGCCGGCCCGACAGGCGACTTCCTCACGACGTACTTGGCACCACCGCTGGCCTATGGGATGGCTGCAGCCACTGCAGTTGTGGTGGCATATCCCTTGGACACTGCTGTGTCGAGGAGACCTTGCCTGGCATGCTCAGATAGGGCGACCAGACGATGACGGTGGAAACCCATCGAAGCTGTACAGTGGAGAGGGCTGGTGTTGCCGGACATGGCAAGTGTTTCAAAAGTAGCCACGTTTAGCTTGCAAACAAGTGCGCGCGGACTCAACAGGGGGAATGTTGAAGCCTTTTCAACCTGCAAAGAGATTCAAAGAGATGATTTTGTGCAGTCCAATGGCGGTGCAGGATGCTGATTGTCCCTCCACACAAGCCAGTGGCCTGCATGAGACGCTTGGCCGAGGTCTGCTTTTCCATTTTCTTCTCCGGGCTGCAGTCCGGAAGACGGATAGAGAGAGTTCTGGGATGTTCTCGGTGTGTCCTCGGTGTGTATTCTCGGCACCGTCCCCTGCCTTAAGGACACTATATCTTCCCAGATGCACGTGCCTTCCGAGGCCTGCCTGCTCGCGCAGGTCGGGACCCAGAAACGGCTCCAAAAAGTTCAAAGGTCCAAGTCACGAAAGGTAGCTTGAGCTACCTGAGTTCTCCTTGCTTTAGCAAAAATGTATTACAATCAGGAGTTGGGATTGTGCATTGAATTTGGTCCTGTAAGAGTTGATTCAAATCCCCCCTGCGCCGGTTCACGCCGTCGTGGACTTCTACCAGGGTTACTTGTGATTGCCTGCTACCTTTCGTTCACCCCCTCCTCTCTCAAGTTTCATCACTGCGCCTTTGAAGTACAATTTTCCGATGGTTTCGCCCATGCCTCGACGAGTCTTGCGGACCTTGATCAATCATCCACAAGCTGTACCAAACTCATTTAACGTATGATGTTTGCCGCTGAGGTGAGTTTTTTATTTCCTACGCAGTCACGGGAGTTGTGGATATGCTCTTCCGGCTGAATGCAGGGCCGTGAAACTCGTCCTTCTCTGTGAAAGGAGCTTCCAATCCACTACCGCAGTGTTTTGCAGCGTTAGTTGAATTGGGACCGCCCTTCTAGGAACTTTTGACACTGTGCATGGTGCGCAGTGCAGTCGTGTTTTCCACTCATTTCGTCCTGAAAAGTGGGGCATGTGGGCTGCCACCGCCGCGGCGGATGCAAAAAGTCACGAAGCTGCTTCTAAGGTTTTTGAAGTTTACGCGCGCACACACACACACACACTAGTGTAGCGTCAATGGCGTTTGGTCAAAAGCATCGAAGAACACGTGCATGAAGCTGGGATGCATTCTCTTGCTGCAGTCATTGACACGTTCAGAACTGGTTTAGAGCAAGTTCAAGCCAGCACGAGCGAGGAGCGCCAAGCGACATGTTGCCATGTTCTGCTTCCCATCTTGTTCCCACTTCTGCTGACCATTTTGGGCACCTTCGCCCAAAACGAAGTTCGAAGCCGAAGTCCACTCGACCTCTGATCTGCCCAAAATCGGCCCCCCCCAAACCCGAGCCCATCCGAGCGCGGATGTGCCCATGGCCGCCCTGCCGGAGGCGCGGCCTCCGCGGGCGCGTCCGCGCCGTGCTCTCCAGCGTGGTGAACACCACGTGGGATCGATTTCAAAGGGAAACGTGATGAAACACATGGTGTAAAACAGGTGTGGGTTGCATGGCTTGCATGGATCAGATTGTACCCGGACTCGACCCGTCTAGGTGCAGCCTTTCCTGCGCGCACACCCGCAGGCAGCTTCTACCCAGGCAGTGGGAGGATAGAATCTTTGGGCGGTTGGTTGACAAAATGCCTAAATGGAAACATGTGATATCACATACATGAAATGAATGTCTCAAATCTTGTTCCAAGTTAGACATGGTTGACATGCGTTTTGACATTTTTTGCCTCCTCCATAGGTCTTGAGGAGATCTTTGCCTTGCAAAGCCTCCCAGACAAGCGGGAGTGGTGCGCGCTACCCTTCTCTTGGCGCTTTAGCCTGTGCTTTGTCGACGTCAACATGCGCGAGGCGCTCTTGGCTTCTGCGGGCCAGTGCAAGGAGGTGTAGAAGCCAGGCAGCAGAAACGGAATCCATGGGACAGATCCAGGTTTTGCGTCGATCGCGTTTCGGTTTGGCAAAAGAAGCTTCTCAAGCCTTAGAGCGCTCAGTGATGGCTTCGACGCTTTTGCCACGTCTTCGCTTCGGTTTGGATGCGACGCTGAGGGGTTCGGTCCTGCGCCTCGAGCCAGCACGAGAGCCACGAAACGGATGCTCGGGCAGAAGAAGGCATGCACTCAGACTTCGTCAGAAGACACCGAGAATACCGAGATGGATTTCTGGGCGATGAAGTAGGATTCATGACCATTATATACTATGTCACTATGTTATACCTAATATGTACTTTTATACTGTAGTATATTTACGATTTCAGAATACATGAATGACTGCATATGTACCAACGCCCCCGGGTTTAAAGGCGAAAGGTCATTCAGCTTCTGTTTACCGCAGCTCGGCTCAAACGTCGATGCAGTGGGGCCACACCTCGACGTGTCAGTGCGGGCTGTGTCCTGCACTTTCACGGTTGCTGAGGGTGGTCGCGACCGGCTCTCAGCTCCCGGGATTCGTTCCCTACGGGACGCTGAGAGTCCGGAACGTGTTGGGTGAGCTCCAGGACTACATCGAGGCTCATCCACCACCGGCGGTAAGGGAGGCAGCGGCACGGCCTCCCCCGCCAAAGGCAGCTGGAGAAGCGGCACTTCCACCAGCTGGAGAAGTACGACCAGGTCAGGGCTCTGATACCGGGCGTTCAGAGGAAAAGGCATCGGAAGCAGGGCATCAAGGACCTCCCGCTGGCGAGAAGGCAGAGGCTGAAGGGGAAGTTCGACTTCGTGAGGCATCAAGAGGACGAAATCCAGAGCGTGACCGGAGGATCCGATCGCGGAGTCCCAGGGGTGAAAGAGAAGAGCCCCCACCTGTGAGGCACAAGAGAAGAGACGTGCCACCGGAAGAGGCAAGACGGACTTTGAGCGCCAAGTCAAGGTCCCTACCTCCATCTCCAGGTGATCATCCATCAGAAGAAGGCCAGGGTAGTGTGAAGCGAGAAGAAGAATCAGGCGACAGAGACGATCCAGCAGCAAGTGATACACCGGGAGTACGGGAGATTGCATCAGGCTCTCCTCTCCCTGACGAGGCGGAGGAGGCCCGTCCAGAGGAGGAAAAGAAGAAGAGGCGTCGCAGGAGAAGGCGTCGTGAATCCAAGTCAGAAGGAAGGAGGTCTTCTAGCACTCCCCGAGCTGCAGCAAGCAGGCCATCACCACCTCGCCCAAAGACGCCGCCCAGGCCACCTCCCCATTGGAAGGGACCGGTGACGATCAGGCCGAACAACCCTCTGCTGAGGCGACCGCCACCTCCACCACCTGACCGAGATCGTCAAGGGACAAACAAAGGAGTTAAGAAGACTGAGAGGCAGCTGGACTTCAAAGAATTCCTTGAGGTAAAGAAGTATCTCAGGGATAAAGAGCGCAAAGGTCGTTGATGCCTCCCCGCTTACTGGCTAGGCCGGCAGCGGATGGGAGAGCGTTGAGGAGGCGTGCAGGGGTCTTGAGAAGGCCAGCGGCAGCAGCAGAGGTTGAGGAAGGCTTTGAGGAAGAGAGGAGGAGGCCTGCTTTGGACTCTGAGGCTGTCGTTGGATTTGAAGAGGGAGGAGAAGTTGCTGCTCGTGACATCGCTCTTGGCGTGTGGGAGCCAGGATTGCAGGTGCTATGTCGTGGAGTTTATTGGGGCAGAGAGATCCGGCTGGCTGTCAACATCGAAGGGATTCAGTTCGTGAGAGGAGCCCTGGAACTCAATGGGAGGATGTCCGGAACAGAGGACGAGGCCCTCCTGAGGTGGGGCTCCAAAGAGGAGGTCAAGAACAAGGTTCGCTTGCATGTATGCCCCAGCAGCTGTTCGAATGTACCAGAAGCAGATGGTTTGGTACACTTGAAACATGTTCAGAGGCGGGGTCATCACGATCCTGCCTGGGCGGACAATATGAGGAGCTCAGGAGGACTGGAGGAGCTGAAGAGGCTTGCCGACAAGTCAGCAAAGGAAGCTCGTGGAGACAAGAAGAGGGCTCACGACGGCGAGGAGTACACTCCGACGAACCCACCAGAGAAGGACGGCAAGGGGTCATCTTCGAGTTCAGACGAAAAGAAGAAAAAGAAGAAGAAAAGGAAGAAGCGGAAACCGTTCCGTGTCATTGGCAAGAAGGACTACAACCAGCTTTTCCAATCTACGGGGTTGGATCGCGATGTCAAGGTGCGGAAGAAGGTTGCCAAGCTGGCGAGAAAAGCTATGAGAAAGAGGAGCAAGGACAGCAGCGAGGACTCGAGCTCTTCATCTACGAAGGAGGAAGATGGAGAGGACATGGAGACGTTGTTCCAGGAGTCTCAGAAGACTCAGTTGGCCGCAAAGGCTGGACCTGGGTCCCTCACGGCACACGCAGTGAGGCAGATGAGGAGGCAGATGTTGACCACCATGGGCCAAGAGCTGGAGGAGAACAGTCCGATACAGCCGGTGGCCCTTCAATTCTACAGGCAGATCCTCAAGGAGAAGTTGACGCCCATTATGAGCCGCGAGGTGATGAACCTTTGCACGGTGATCGACGCACTATTGGAGGGAAAGGTGGCATTTGCCACCGACGTTGCAATACAGAGGGTGAAGGCCCTAGAGGCCATCAGCAATGGTGCGTCTTGGGCAGTTGCCCAGAGGTACGAACTTTGCCCACCGGATCTCGGACAGATCGCGTCGACGTCAGAAGCAGCAGCTGCAGCAAAAGAGACGAAAGAGGAGGTCAGAGCCAGAGCCCTCCAGAGGGGAGTTTGGGAAACTCCTTGGAGGGGCAAAAAGGAGAGGGCGAGAAAGGGAAGAGCAAGAAAGGCCAGGAGAAGGGGAAAGGCAAGGGCAGCAAAAGCGATCGAGATCGTCAGAAGGGGGAGAAGACCGACAAGTGAAGCCTGACAATGAAATGGATGAGGATGAGATCTCTGAAGAGCTCTGGAGATTGATGGATGAAGCCTTCGAAGCGAATGATGCCAAACTACGTTCGATGCCAAAAGTGCCCAAGCATCAGGTAGAAGAGTATGAGCCTGGTGCCGGACTCATGACTGAGTTCACCCGTACAGTGGCTTTCTCTGGGAGTGCCGACCCAGAGGGCCAGACTTCAGACCCGTCCGAAATGGATGCCAAAAAAGAGGACGTTGGGAGTGCGCGCGGCTTCGATTCGTTCGTCGACGATTGGGTTAGGGGGTTGTCCTGTTTTGAACTATGCAAGGCCAAGACCACGGGGGAGCTTTTCCCGCTTCCCTCGGATAACCTCGTTTGTCACCCAAAATTTTCTAATGTCGATGATCGAGTGCGGAAGGTCTGCTGGGGTTTGATGAAGGCCCCGAATCACTTATATGGTTGTGCGCCTCCGGTTTCACTCCGTGTTTCTGAAAACCATGTTCGAGTTTGCATGTTTTTGATGGAAGAGTCAAAAGATTTTTTGAGTCGAGTGCCAGTGCTAAAGAGCCTCAGTTGGTCCGAGTACTTGAAGGTCAGGACCATTGATTACAAAGGCGATGAGGTTCGAACAGCTCAGACTACTTCGTGGGAGAATATCCGAAGCGCTCTCCCTGATGAGGTTGGGAGAGTGCGACTGGAGAGTGTTGTCACCAAGGGCTCTCTTCACTATGTGGAGAACTTCGGAAGCTACCTGCTCCCTGAGGCCAACCGGCGTCACACACGACCTCCACGGGTGATGATTGAGGATTCTCAATGGGAGGCCATGTGTTGTGGTCTCCTTGAGAAAGGCGTGTGTGGACTCATCGGCGAAGACCAGGTTTTTCGCGTGGAAGGTAAGTTGCTGCTAAACGGCCTTTTTGGAGTACCTAAGGACGAAGACGTTAATGGGGTGCCGGTTCACCGCCTCATTATGAATCTGATTCCTTTGAATCGCATATGTCGACCCATGAGCGGAGACATTAGCACCTTACCGGCCTGGCCGTCGATGCACCCTTTTGAGATCGGACCTGAGGAAACACTTCTCGTAAGCTCTGAAGACGTGCGGTGTTTCTTTTATATTTTTGCCGTACCTCAAGAGTGGCATCGGTTCCTTGCCTTCAACAAGGTGGTACCACCTCACCTATGTCCTGACAGGTTACAAAACTACTACTTGTGTGGAAAGGTCTTGCCCATGGGCTTTTGTAACTCCGTGTCATTGGCTCAGCAGGTCCATCGCACCATTGTAGGTGAGGCAGTCCAGGAATGTGTTGCGCAAGGCAGTCGCGTGAGCTGGGAGGCAGAACACCGCAAGGATCGCAGTTTCAGTTGGAGCAATCCTTCGTTTAGAGTCTACCTGGACAACTTCGACTTCCTGGAAAAGGTGGATTCGCGAACGGCTGACAGGATCAGAGGTGATACTCCCACCTTTGTTGAGGCGCTGAGAAATGCCTATGCTAGGCTTCAGGTTCCTCGGCATCCAAAAAAGGCTGTCGCACGGAGCTCCAAAGCGGAGGTGCAGGGAGCGGAGGTTGATGGCGAACATGGTTCAGCCGCACCCAAAGCGGACAAGTTGTCAAAATACCTTCACCTGTGCCACCTGTTGTTGGAGAAGGGTCGCGCTACGCAGAGACAGGTGCAGGTTGTGGCTGGCGGTTTCGTGTACTTTGCCACTTTTCGGAGACCGCTCCTTGGATCTCTGAATGCTGTCTGGAAATTTGTGCAAAGCTTTGAAGGTGGTCCTTTCGTGCAACCGTTGCCGGCGGAGGTGCGTGTTGAGCTGTCGCGTTTCTGCTTGCTGGTGCCCTTGGCGCGCATGGATTTTCGCCTTAGTTTGTCAAGCACGGTGACTGCTTCAGATGCATCCACCTATGGGGGTGGCGTGACGGCTTCGTCGGGATTGACGCAAGTTGGGACAATTGCAGCCAATATGCCCACGCGGGGCAACGTGGTAGAGTTGGAGGACGTTCCGACGGTGCTCACGGTAGGACTTTTCGATGGCATAGCTGGGCTTCGAGTTGCTGCGGACGCCGTTGGTTTTTCGGTAGTCGGGCATGTGTCGGTTGAGTGTCATGAACCTGCCAACAGGGTTGTTGAGAGTCGCTTTCCGGGAACCTTGTTTGTGAAGACTGTGGAGGAGGTCTCATCGGACATGGTCAAATCCTGGGCGTGCCAATTCAGTCAGGTGTCAATGGTCGTTCTGGGCGCTGGTCCACCTTGTCAGGGTGTTTCTGGTTTAAATGCGGACCGCAAAGGCGCACTCAAAGATCTCCGGAGTTGCCTGTTTTGGCATGTGGAGCGTGTAAAGGACCTTCTGTGTGAACACTTCCCGTGGGCTCAGGTGCATCGCTTGATGGAATCGGTCGCCTCCATGGACGTCGAGGACAGGGAGGTGATGAGCAAATCGGTGGGCTCTACACCTTATCTCATTGACGCTGCAGGGGTCACAGGCTGTCGTCGTCCGCGCCTCTACTGGCCGTCATGGGAGATCCTTCAAACTCCCGGTGCACAAATCTCTTCGGTCACGGGAGAAGGCTGGGGACAACTAACTGAAGTTGCCCTCTCAGCCGCCGTTGATGTCGAACAATTCTTGGAACCAGGGTGGACTAAGTGCAGTGACGAGTGTTTTCCAACTTTCACCACCAGCAGGCCTCGGGCGTCCCCGGGGCGCAAGCCAGCGGGGTTGCAACATTGCACTGCTGAAGAAGTTGATCGTTGGCAGGCCGATTCCTATCGTTTCCCTCCGTACCAATATCGGACTCGTTTCTGTCTTCAGGACAAGGATGGCAACCTGCGCACACCAGGGGTTGAAGAAAGAGAGGTACTGATGGGTTTCCCTCGTGGCTACACCTACAACTGCATGTCAAAAGCACACCGTCACGGGGCGGCATGGCGTGATGAAAGGCTGAGCTTGCTTGGCAATTCCTGGTGTGTCTTTGTCATTGCATGGTTGTTGTCGTGTTTGGGCGTGCCACGCGGTTTATGTCCTAAAATGACCATTGCACAGGTGATGCGACAATGTTGTCCTGGAGGTGGAACCTTGTTGCAAGGCTTCTTGTTGCGTCCCTTCATGCGGCCTCCCCGTCACCATGTACAGCCACAAGAAGATCAGTTGGCTCGGAAGCTCACCGGGTTGATCAGCGGTAAGGGAGAGGATCTTCTCCTCCAGGCTCCTCCCGAGGATGTCCAGCGCTACCATCGGTTGAGAATGAGTATTCCAGCAAAGCTGTGGAAGTGGCGTGTCATTTGTGGATGGCGTTGGCAAGGGTCCCCTGAGCATATCAACGTTCTTGAACTGCGTGCTGTGTTGACTGCATTGAAATGGAGGTTTTCAAAGAAGGCTTGGCTGCGGACTCGCTTCCTACACCTAGTTGACTCACAAGTGTGCTTACACGCTCTGGCGCGTGGACGCTCGAGCAGCCGGAAACTTCGGCGCACATTGTTACGCATTGACGCACTCCTGTTGGCATCTGGATCGCACGGCGTATGGACCAGAACCCGGCCGACGCTCCCAGTCGGCGGCCCGTCCGTAAGCGATGGGTAAAGTAGGCAAACTCCATGTAGAAGGATGCTCACAGGAGGAGCGCAAGCGTCGGAGAGCAGAACTAGGTACTTTGCAGTCATTAACAGTACAGAGTCGTACAAGGCAGCGATACAACAAGGCACTTGAGCAATTTTGGTCATTTTTGCGTGAAGAAGGAATCGCTGTTCCGGATAGTTCAGGACCTCTAGATCGTATACTCTGCCTCTATTTGGAACATCTATGGGCCGAAGGCTTCGGGCGTGCCTTGGCTGCGGACACGGTGGCGGCAGTTCAAGACGCACAACCTGACGTTCGTAAACATCTTCCCGCCACATGGCGCCTTCTTAAGGTGTGGAACCAAAATGAGATCCCCAGTCGTGCCCCACCGCTCCCTGAAGAGGCCCTTCACGCTATGGTGGGATATGCCATCTTCAAGAACCAGCTTCATTTTGCCCTATCCCTCCTCGTGGGATACTATGGTGTCCTACGTACGGGAGAAATTTTGGAGCTTAAGTCATCGGATGTGGCCGTGGAGTCTGAACGTGGCCCTGCAGTAATCTCTCTTGGACTGACCAAAGGGGGTCAACGACAAGGCGCCGCAGAAAGCGTGACCATCACATCGGAACAGGTCATCCGCTGGCTTTATCAGTGGATTCATGACTCTGGTCCTCGCACTTTCCTCTGCCCTAAGCCCGCCCAGTGGCGCAAGCTGTTCAATGAGACTCTTGAAGCGTTAGGCTTCAATGACCTTCAATTTAGGCCCTACTCCTTGCGAAGAGGAGGGGCGACATACTGGTTTAGAAAATGGGGCGTGCTCGATAGACTCCTCCTGTACGGTAGGTGGCAGAATGCCAGAACTGCACGTACATATGTCAATGATGGCTTAGCAGCCTTAGCGTCTATGAAGCTACCATGGACTGGCCCCAACCGCAGATTCAAACAAATCTTTTTGAATTCATACCACCAGTCGTTACCCTCGCTTGAGCCCGCTCGCAAAGCGACCAGGGCAGGGGGACGTGGAAAGAAGACCAAGAAGTCGTCCAAAACAGTGAGAGTTGGTGAGAGGGGCAGTTTTCCTTTTCCCTTTTCTTTCTCGAAAAAATAACTGAGGAAACCAAGTGATCTTCACTTTTGAAGGCTATGAGCCTTATTTCTCTCCGGCTTGGCGGAGAGGGTAAGGGTAGCCTTCCTTTGTCTCTGAGCTGACATCTGGACGGCTTGGCGAACAGATGTCGGGGAGACCAGAGAATAAAAGAGAGTTGAGTTGACTTGTGAATTGTTTTAACTTTTGACTAAAATGGCCTTGCATAGCAACAAAACAGAGCGTTTGAATTCTTGAGCCTTTATATATATATATATACCATTATCCTCTTGAGGCTCCGGTTGAGGTCTTGCATCTGGCATCGGCCTCCGGGGCCTCGGTCAGGACGTGGTCTTGGTGGGGAGCGGCCTCGGCAGCCTGAGCTGCGCCGCGGTGCTGGCGGCCGCCGGGCGCCACGTCACCGTGTGCGAGTCGCACTACCGGCGCGCGGCTCAGGTGAACTTGCACTGATGGAATTCATCTACGAGATGTGGTGATATTGAACCTCTTACATGTGAGATAAACCATTTATACATCCACTCCCTGGAATGACCATATGGAAGTGGATGGCACCACCTGTTTGGTCTTCGGATTTCATGCTCCTTCGAAATCGGGGCCAGAACTTCCATGATCATTGTAGTGGAGCGTTTTTATTGCAACACTTGCAAGGGAAACTGTCACACAGGCAGCCGTCCGGGGAACATGATGTCGTTGCCAATTGCGGACTCTTGGAACAAGCCTTGCAGAGTGCCTTGCAGGTTGGGTGGAGCCTGCCACACTTTCACGGCCAAAGTCGCTGGAGCTGGAGACGCTGGCTTTGAGTTGGCGGGTTTTGTCTATCTATATAATAGAAATTGTGTCGTGAGGGATTTGTCAAATAGTGGAGATGAACAGTGGAAACACTTACAAGAACTAGCATGGTGCTCGGTGCTCCCTATGTTGGCGAAGTTCCAGCATGCAGCATGGAGTTTCTTTTTTTCGTCTTCTCTGGCCAAACTGTGATTCGCCCAGGAGTTCCACTTCGAGTCAGGCCCTTCACTGTACAGTGGCCTCAGCCTGGAGGAAAGTCCCTCGCAGCTAAAACACGTCTTCCAGATTGTGGGCAAAGAACCCCAGTGGATCCAATATGACCGTTGCTTGGAGCAGCATAGGTTGAGCCGACCGCGGGTTTTTCGTCGCCTATTTTTGGTGATGGTGACAGTGAAGGTCGCGAAGGTGAATGATTTTTCTGGTTTTGAAAAAAGCATGACTCCAGCAACAGCATAGGTTGGAACAATGCACAGAAACCAAGGTTGGAATGCCTTCTTGCCCGAGGGCGAGGTGAATGTAGCGGTTGGATACCAAGAAGTGGTACAGAAGCTGTTACCTGCCTATGGAGGCGGCCGGGCAGTGCCTGACGTGTCGGACGGCAAGCATGTTCCATTTGGAATTGAGAATGCGCTTGACGCAGGCACCGATGCGGTCGCCCAATGGCAGAAGCTCATGTCCGAATTAAAACCCATGTCCGATGCGCCTCGTCGCACGGCGGAGGGGCGGACATGGGCCTCAAAGCACGTACGTTTGGACAGGGTTCTGGAGTCCCAGTGCGCCAAGGGTGAGTTTGACTATATAACTTCTTTTGTTTTGGGCACTTTCGGTCCCTTTTCTTCAGCTTGTCACAGAGAACTGGATGCAGCACTGACCTTTGGCACTGACATGTCGAGGCTTTGTACAATGCCCCTCCCTTTGGTGCCCTGCGAGATGATTCGTGGGCTGCGGTGACCATGGGCCGATTCTTCCGGCGCCGGACTCAAAAATGCATCTCCATTTGAGAGTGGTTTTCACACGAAATGGCACCAGCTACCCCAAGTTCGGTGGTATACGGTGTGGTTTAAACATGGACTCTGCACTCTGCACCCATGTCAATGTGTCTAAGACATTTTCGGGTGCCATCTACTCCGAAACTGCTGTCATGAATCAATGCTGTGGAGTGACCTGTGTGAACCACGGCATGAGTCATGACATGAAGCGTTTTCTAGTTCTGCTTGTCGGCAGGCGGCTCGGCCCCCTGCTTTTCGATATCCCTGGAGGCTTGGACCCTTGGCTGAACCCGAACCCGGCTTCGATCGCGCTCCGATCGCTCCGCACATGCCACGACTGCAATGACGGACCACCATGACTGCGAGGTGCTGCGCGCTTAAGCCAGCCCTTCGAGGCTCCAGTTGAGTGGCCTGATTTTCGTTTTCAAGTTAAGTTCGCCTGAGAGGACTTCCTGAGGGAGGTTGGAGTCACGGACAGCTTCGTGAAGTGCAGGGCTGAGCATTGGGGATTCTGCTCTGGACGTCCTTGCGCCCACACTGGTGTCCCACCATGTCCCACCGAAATCCGGGTGGGGCGTTTCTGGCTGAGGAACTACCTGAGCCTTTTCAGCTTTTTGCTGCAGGGCCTTCCCAGCTACGGCTCGCCCACCTCCATGATGGCATGGGCCTGAGCCAAACTCGGGGTAGATGGACCCCCCCCCCGCAGTTCGGCATAAGACCAACAGGCTTCGACATATACACATGTCACATGGAAATGAAATGGCTCTTGTGTTCCCACCATAAGACCGGATGTGGTCATTCGATGTCATTCGTAGACTTCTTCCTTGAGCGGCGACAAAGACAAAAAAGGCCTACATGATGGCGGATCTGTATCGCAAGGGTGGGACTTGCTGGGGTCTCAGGGACCAAGTCCGTACCACAACAGAAAAAACACCGCGCCCGCCCTCTGGAAGAGAGTCGAGGCCTCGACTATCCCAAAGGAGGCTCGGAAGCCATCGTTCAGGTCGGCGACTCTTTTTTGGCCAGAAGGCCGATCTTGTTTCTTCTCTTTTTATTTGTACCTTGGATGTGCTGTATAGCCCTTCTTTTACCTTCATTTATCATTCAGTCCCTGTTTAAACTTTCTGTCCTTCTCTCTGGCTTTGCCACTTGGCGTTTTCGCACGCGCACAGAAAAAGAATCGCTTGCTTCGATTCCTTTGGCCCGCCCCAACCATGTGTCCATAGGAGGTGGGACCAGGTAACAGGGAGGAGGCTGGAAGGGGCACTTTCTGGGAGGCCTTGCTTGATGGCATCGAAGAAAAGAGTCCTTCTGCCAAGATTTGGAGCCAGGCGACGCTTTTGAGCATGTCACAGTTTCTGCTGCATCATTCGTGCAGATTCGTTGGAGGGGCCTTGCATGTTGCGGGGTTGAAGTTCTAGCCAAGAGAGGAAGTTGGCCCCTCTAGCTCGCTAGAGCTGGGAGCCTTGCCCATGCCATCCGTTGCAGAATGGTTGACGCTGCATGTGGTTGGATGCTGACTAGCTCTTGTCAGGCGCACGTGGAGGACATTCTGGTCGAGCAGGGCCGTGCAGTTGGTGTGCGTCTCAAGAACGGTGCCACCATACGTGCGCGTGAGGCGGGACGTCTCGAGGTTCGGCGTGCCCATTGGCATGTCGGTTTGGTGCGCCGAACGGGACGGGCGGACGGGCTGTGCTGAGTCGCATGTGTTGAGGCAGTGGTGAGTGGTGCCGACATTGGCGTGACACAGCAGCTGCTGGCCAATGCAGAGGCTCCGGAACTTGAAGGTTTCTTTGAGGCGCGGGGGCGGTGCAAGCAGAAACTAGAAGACAGCAGGAATAGAACTCGAGTCTCTACTCGTAGATGTGAATGCTGCTGCCAAACAAACCTGGCAGCGGTCGTTGTCGTTGTGGCAATGGAATTTGCGGATGTTGAAGGTATCCTTCTAAGACCCTTGTTCCGATGGTGTGGCTGAGAGGAGCAGTGGGGAGAGTTCGAGCCGTTGAACTCCTTCATCCATATCCATTTGGGCTTCCGCGGAGAGGTGCGGCAGGGCCGAACCTTGAGTTGAGCCCTGCGGCGTGCTTTCTTGAATCATGTTGATTCGAAAGGAATCATTCTTGACTCGAAGACGCTCGAGAATGCAGGGAAAAGCGCTGGAAGGTAAAGAGAATTACAGTGGCTTCAGAGTAGATGGCACAAACTCCTTTTTAGATGGGGGTCCATGGGTGTGTGCCTACTCTCAATCCACTATGACAAACACTGGGCTCCCGAACTTTCCGCCAGGGTCTTCCAACCGCACACAGCCCGGAGTTCCCAGCACAGTGGGGCGTGGTGAATGACTGGTCTGACCTGGAGGCAGCCAGGCCGGAGGGTCGGCAATGAGCACCTCCTTGTAGCAGTAGCAGTAGTAGTTAGTTGTTGCTGTTGTTGTTGCTGCTCCTATGTCGCACCTTACACCTATGCCGCTATGCCACGCTCCATTGATGGTCCTCACGTGGCGTTCCGAACGCCGGAGTCTCCAAGAGTCCCAACTTGGGAGTCTCAAGGGCCACGAGTCCTGCGCAGGAATGTGGTGCTGGTCAGCGTGCCTTCTTTACTGGACCCTGACTTTGCGCCCAAGGCTGGCGCTTTTTTGGTGCCATTGGTGCTTGTTTTTCCTTTTCGGTCTTCTCGGACCTGAGGGCTCGTGTGAATGAAAGAGTTTCCTCTCGCGGATGATCCCTACGGAGTTGTCCAAGGTGTCGACTCGAAATGGGCATTTCTCCCCTCTCGCGGTGCAGCATTTAGGAAGGTCTCATTTCACCTTCGGATCATCCTTTGCAGGGCTTTCATAGCCTACACGCCTACACGCCAGCGACGGAACGCTGGGCGGACTGGGAGCATTTGGACCGAAGCAGTGCTGAGCATCTCGGCAGAGGGAATGAGTAGCTCAGCAGGGTCAGGCCGCACAGGTCATTATTAGTATTGCTATAGCTGGGTTGGAGAGAAGGTTTTGTGGTCAGCTCCCGGTGAAAACTCCGGGCGGAAGAGCTCGAGAGAGGAAAACCGCATGGATTGAGGTATCGGCAGAAGAAGGCAGAAGCTGCTGACTTCTTGTACCAGGCCATCGAACGGCAGGCGCTGGGAGAAGGTTTGCTCACAGGACTGCGAGCACATGCGTGGGCGCAGGTGTGCTATCTCATCTCTATCACACTATATTATGACTCTCTCTCTCTCTATCTCTCCCTCTCTCTCTCTCTCCTCTCTCTCTTTCCCTTTCTCTCTGTATATATAAATATAATATATATGTATCTATTAATTGTACATGATGTCACTTACTGTTACTGGTATGTTCGTCTGTGTCTTTGGTCTTTGCGCTGGCAGCAGGCTCAATGTCTATCTCTATGTCACCTTGCAGACAACCTGCTTTACCAACAAGAAAGTTTTGGGAGCAGGATTTGAGTGGCCAGGTTCCTGACATCCGCTCGAGGGTGGTCTTCGAGAAGGTGGGCACACCTTTGACACATGCGCCCGGGCGCCTGATGAGGGGTGTGCGCACATATATATATACCAGCACCCGACTCTACAGGTCTCCTCAAGGGTTGTTGGGCCCGAACAGGTCTCAATTGGGGACCTGGCAGTGAGGGTGTTGGTAGATTTAGATGAATCGCGCGGTTGTGTGTTGCTTTGCGAAGAGCTTTGTCTCACATGGTGCGCCCCGAGGCGCTTCTTGCGAAAACCAAAGGGAGCCTATGGCTGGCGCGTATCATGGCGAATTCGGTGGCGGATGGTGCTAGGGGGTTGGAGGCATGACTTCGTGGGTGGGCAGCCGCTTTTTTTTTAATCTTTTTTTGGCATTGTGAGCTCAAAGCCGCTTGGAGAGGAGGAATGGGTGTCTAGTGGTGTCTAGTAAGCTATGCTCTTTAGTTCAGCCAGTCGCAGACCCAGTGATTCAGCAAGTCTCAAACTTCACATCGAAGCGACTGGAACACCTTCGGACCCCTTGCAGAAGGTCCCAATCAACTGAACCTGCAAAGCTTTTTCGCCGCATGGCTGGCTTCGCGGCATGGCGCCCATACCGGTGATGGCTCCCTGCACGGGGCGGCAAGCTGCCTCAGAGACTTTCTTGGCCAGGGTTTGGCACCAAGGTGGGCCATGAAGAGCGCAGTTTTTTGAGTTTTTTTGAGTTTTTTGGATGTATAGTCAGTTTCAGAGACCTGCCATTGGGAGCATGTATACCGGCATTTCTGTACGTCAAGACCATGGTGAGAGCGTACATGTTTTCCACGCACTTAGCAAGTCAAGACTGCAGCCTAACACCGGCAAAAAAACTAAAACGAACGAATTGATTCATATAGACGGAGATTGATGATCAGTTGATGCGATTCGCGATGGTGCTTTTCATGGTCCACCACAGTGTCAAGACCTATGGCTCAACAAACTAGCCAAGGCTCCAAAAGAGCCCAACGTAGGACTTTTTGCGGACAAGACAGTGGTGAAAGGAATTGATGTGTGCCTAAACGCCAGCTTGGTTCCAAGACTAAAGCCAAAAACAACTACTGTATCTAAATCGCCAAAAGCACCCCGGACAAGACAGCAGGCACAACGATTGTTGAAAGCTTTCAATCAAGAAAGGCTGGCACCCAAGAAATGAGTGGGAAGCACGCTCCAAGTCAGGGCTTTCCCCACAGTCATTGCACGTACTTATTTTCTGAAGCTAGTGCGTGATCCAGTGTCAAGACAACAGGCCAAAGATCACATTTGGCCTGCAAGCCAGGTTTTGCACCTTGTCATGCTGGCATGGTCAAGAAGAAATGGCAGGTGCCAACTTATAGGTGACTGTGCTGTTTCCTGAATGTCAAGACTGGGGAAAGCAATGGCCGAAGCCACTTCGGCAGTACTTCGACCAATGTCAATCAAGACTATGGAACCGACTGTGCCCACTCCAATGTAGCTATTAACATGTTATCTGATTACATATATACCTGGAAATTGCCTTTGCGGCATCGCGTGGGGAAAAAAGCACATGACAAGATCTGATAAGATCAGATACCCTCATCCCCACCCACCACATAATCACCCACCACATAATTACAGTATCTTATACTGCCATATATATGATCTGTGGGGACGTACGCCGCTCCGATGCGACGCCGCTCAAATTCCCAGGTTGGATCCCGAGTCTCTGGGAGCTTCCAGATCTGCGAAGCCTCACAGGCGACAAAGACCACGAGTGTCTAGGTGGTTGGTCGCACAGCCTTTGTATGACTTAGCTGCTATAGCATCCGCCCAAAGGGCTCAGATGGAACACAAGTAGAAGCTGGTAGAAAACGTGGTGAATGGGGTGCTCTTTTTTCCTCCTGTGCTCCCCAGGTGATGCAAAAGACTGCCCAAAGCAGTGGCCTACATGGAAATTCCTTCTGCCCTTTGCTGAGCTCTCAAGGGTAGGATGGAATGCCACAAGTTCCCACTCTTTGCAAGGCCTTTTGCCGAGGATCTTCTGGGCATATGATCAGTTTCTGGGCCTTCATGAAGGTTGGGAACTCTGGGCCATGCCCTTGGGACTTCTGCTTCGCTCCGTGTGGTTGAGTGTGGCTCCGCAACAGTGGCTGATCCAGTCGCAGTGCGCGTGCCGCGACACGCCCGAGACCAATTCCATCCTGTTTGACGCCTTTGACGAGCTTCGCGCCGGCCGACGCGAGAGCCTGGGGATTTTCCAGTGTGATGCGTTGCGGCATGAGCCAGACTATTCCGATTGGAGCAACTTCATGGATTTGATCCTGGAGCCTCATCCGATGCGCTGCGTTCCCTTGGATATTCTGTTGCGATGCGCCTGCGCGCTGCGCGCCTCACGGAACCAGGAGATGGCCAAAGCCCGTCAACTCCTGGATGCAGCAGTGAGGCTACTGGCTCTGGCGTTGGATAGCTGCAGTTGTCTTCAGCATGTTCTCCCGGATTTCTAGGCCTTGCCAGATACTGGCACCATTTCTGACACTTTATCATCCCAAGCAACCTTCCGCAGTCTCAAAGTCAAAAAGCAATCAAGAATCTTACTGAAACATGGTCCGGTAGCATATGTACCATCAACCCCCATCATTTTTCCATTCTTGCTTGGCCTTGTAACACCACCTTCGATCTTCAGCTCCACCTCTGAGGATTGTTTCGACCACAGCCCCTGGACCTCGTCTTCCGGGCCGGGAGCTCTTCCACCGGTGACGGCCATGGAGGTCTTCCGCAACTGGGCTCGTCGCCCCAGCGAGGAGGCCTCCACCTGGGCCTGGGAGACGGCGGCGCCGGAGGCATCGCCGCGGCCGCCCGCGCTCGGCCGCGCGGGTGTCGGCGGCCGCCTGTGCCGCGCGGAGCTGGGCGCTGCTTGCGTGGACGTGCGAAGGGCAGAGGTTCTGGTGAAAGGTCCGGGACTGACCAGAAAGCAAGACAACCCATTGGGGGGCAGGGTGTTGGAGGGTTTTTCTGTAAGCTGCCTGAAAAGACCCGGCCACTTGTCTGTGTGGGTTCATGAAAGACCTGTGAAGGTGCAGCGTCTAGTGGATATCTCCACCAATGCGGTGACAGCTACGGGGAGTGGCGCCGCATTCGAACGCAACCAGCAGGGCGAATGCCTCCCGGACGTGGGCGTGGTCGTGCATGGATTCTTTACGTCTCCCCCTTGGCCATGTCCAATCTCTGGCATTTGTTGCACATTTTGCTGCCTGCGCTGCATGCTGAGCACGACTTTGATGAGCTTCTGATTGATGGCCTTCACCATGCCGATGGAGGGGCAGAGTGGGCAGAGTGGTCGTGGCAGAAGTTGCGCAGCAGCTTCGCTTGGCCATTCCTCCAGAGCCTTGCGGGCCCCAAGGAGCTCGTCTTGCTGGGCGCCGGCGGCGGCTCGGATGAGGCGCCCTGGCGCTGCTACGAACGAGTCGACTGGGGTTACGAAGCCGTCGCCCTCTTTGGGCGCCATAAGGGGCATCTCAGCACTTCTTCGATCCGCCGCGCGGTGCAGCAGCTAGAGAGGTCCTCCTCTTTTGGTGGGCCTGTGGAGCCGTCCGTGCCGCGAACTCCACGTTTGTTGCTCATTGAGCGCCCCCCCACCAGCTCGAAGGGCGGTGGTGAACGGCGAGGCTCTGAGGGATTTGCTCCGGTCGAGCAGTTGGTGCAAACATTTGATGTCTGAATGGGCAGATTTTGCCGAAGAGCCTTTGAGATCAGATGTGAGGGGGCAGTGGAAGTTGGCGTCTCAGGCGAATATTTTGATGGGTGCCCATGGCGCGGGACTGGCATGGTCTGCGTTTATGCATGCTGGAAGCATTTTGGTTGAGCTGCTGCCTTTCCTGCATGTCCTGCACGATCAGCTCTGTCGAGTTGGCGATGGAGAAGATGGTGCAGCATGGGACAGCACGCCAATGTACGCCTATGGTGGCCTGGCCCTGCTGACGGGGCTTCACCATGTTTGCATTTTGGGTCTTCCCATGCCGGGCCAGCAGTCGGGGTCGCTGGGCCATGATCTAGCGACGTGGTGGTCATCGGATATTTATGTAGATACTGCTGCAGTGAACCGCACCTTGGTGCGAGCTCTCAATCGCTTGAGCCGATCGCGGACAGACCGAAAGGCCGCCAGAAGAGTCAGGGTTTTTCCAGGGTTTGCTGGTGCATGAGGTCGCTCCAGTTTCCACGTGCTTGACCATGAGTGCCATTCCGGCGAGGCCACCAGCTTAAAGGGAGATAGAAATGGAATGGTATGGTGAAATGGTGTGACATGACAGGTACGACCATCAGATACCAATGCTGCCGAGCTTCTTCCTACCACTGCTGCAGGTTTGTAGGAACGGAAGGGCGTTGTTATGTTTTGATATGTTTTGTTGAGTCGCGCAGCTGCTGCCGAGGTGTTGGCTGGCTCCAATTTACCAAGTCATAAGACACCGCTCGCAGGACTGGAAATGGAGTGCAGAGTACGGGCTGTTTCTGCAAGAAGCGTGGGGCGGCGCTTTCTTCATGCCATTGTGAATGAGCAATGTAGGCTCTTGATGAATAACCTCCCCCAAGTTGAATTGAAACACCTTTTCATATGGGGGGGTTATATATGTACTTCAAGAGTCAACATACTGTATTTTTGTCTACATCATGTTGCCTAGAAATGGACATGTTTGCCACTAGGCCTGCATCTCTGCGGAGACTCCACCTATCCGGGCATTGGTGTGCCATCAGCTGCCATGAGTGGCCACATTTGTGCCTGGGATGGCAGGAATTGATAGGAATTGCATCTTGGGGACCCACCCGGACGGGAGAAAGCTATTGAAAGGATTTGAAAGGTAGTCTTCCTTAAGCACCGGCCGTTTGGGCCTTCCAGAATGCTGCCATCCGGAGCTCCGTCCGACGCCGAACGCCTCCGTCCATTCTCACTCCCCAGGTGCCAACAACATCCTCTCGGTGACGGAGCACTGGTCCTTGCTGGACCGGATCCGTGAGTGGCACTATGAGCTCGACATGTGATCACGGACATCCCAAAGTCGCCTAGCACGCCGCGGCCGCGCGCCCTTTGCGCTTTGCGCGACGTGCCGGGTGGGTGGGTTGCTGCATTGGCCACATCGCGTTCTTTATTTTTGGGGGGGCGAATCGTGCAAGCCGAAGATGGATGTGTAATGAAGGTGGGATGTTGGCGTTGCACGGTCCGTTGTGTGAATTTGGCTCCAGGCGTAGAGAATCATGAAACACAAGGGTGCAGATGTTTGCCAGGCAAAATGCTACAATTTTTGCCCCAATGGAAGGCATATCTGTCGCATACCTGAGCACATGCGCCAAGCATGCACAGATCGATACTTGGACTTTGTGGATCCTTGAGTGCATGCCAAATCTCACCCGGCCTGTGCGCAGACATGTTGGGGGGCCCTGGTGGCCTTTGGCCAAAATGGACTAACACAGCGCCCGTGAAGCACCTAGTACATGACGTATATAAGCTTTGTATGGATTTATGCGAAGGTGCCGAATTGTGTTGAGTTTCACGGCCTGCTTGTCAGGTAGTGAAACGTGACACTCAAGGCTTCACTTCCCTGCCTTGAGGTCTTGCCTTGGTTTTGCCTTAGCCTCCTCGCGCTTGGTCGGCCGAGGGTCCTTGGAGGCGGGGACGGCTGGGACGACGCAGTCGGTGGGCACCGGGTGACTGCCAGGTGGGGCACAATGCGCCGAACCAATGGCGGCTAGAGAAAAGTGATGCGCAGACCTCAGGGTGGGTCATGAACATACATACACGTCGATAGTCGCGGAACCACATGTGTTCATTTGATTTCCTTTGATTTCCTGAGGTAGAGATCCGAAAAGAAGCGCAGAAGAGGGCCAAGGAGAGAATTCCCGGACGTCCAGTGGTTTTCTTGGACATTGAGGCCCGGAGCATTTGCATCGGAACATTTGACCAGTGAGAATGGATTCATCCGGCTTTTTGGGATGCCGTTTACGCCGTTTCTTTTTCCTCGCTCGCTCGAACATCACATCTGAGTCTGCTGCTCACGTCTGTGGGGAAGACAAGGAGGCGGTCCAAGGAGACTGAGCTCGTGCGATTCTGCCAGGTGGCCGGTCATCCAGCAGCCAGGGTGGTGTGCGAGAGACTGAGCTTGGTGTGCGAGAGAGGTGCCACGGACACGCATTTGGATCCGTCCATTGATGCCAATTGGGCTTTGGGGTGACCTGGTCAACCTTCATAGGATTTGACACCTGGTTCCTTCAAGGCATCCATCCCCAATAGGTTCCCATAACAATATATAGCCATAGATTCGGTCCTAGGTGGTTTTCGCCTCAGTGAGGTGAGCTTTTCTCAGACTTGGTCCCCAAGACCGCGGAGAACTTCCGCTGCCTTTGCACGGGCGAGAAGGGCTACAGCACGTGTGGGAACTCAGTTGTTAGGGCTACAGCACGTTTTGAAGTCCTTCCTCCAGTCAGCCACTCACAGTCGCGAGTCTCTGCTCTGTCGAATGCTTGAACGTCTGACACTGCTTCGCACGTCTGACTTCGCCTGGGGCGACCGACTCGGACCGACTTGGCGGCGATGAGTCCGGACGACGGCGGCCGTTGCCTTCGTGTGTTCGGAGACCGCGGTGTGGGCTCGTTTCCAGGGCTGGAAAGCCGCTGCACCTCAAGGGAAATGCCTTCCACAGGGTCGGCGGCTTGGAGCGACGCGGAGCGAAAAAGAGCAACAGACTGCAACTTCCTCAGATGGCAAGACCTTCAAGACTTTCTGTTTGGGTTTGGCCCATTGGTTTTGGAAGCAGGTGCTTAATCCAAGGGCTTTTTGAGCTCTTTGGTGGGTTTGCCAGAGCTTCCTGCAGCCTGAAAACATCCGACTGGGGAGCATTCATCATTGGTGTTGCCGACGGACTCAGGTGGTTCCAGGCTTCGCAGTGCAGGGTCGGCAGCCGAGAGCGAGCGACCGGAGAACGAGCGAGCGAGTGGGTTGAGAGCGAGCGAGTGGGTTGAGCCAATCGAGCACTCCACTGGTCAGAGGTGGTGACATTACCAGGGGAGATGGCACTGGTGGAGAATCTGCAAGGGCCTCAAAGAACATTGGCACATGAAGATGATTGTATAATGTTGTTTTGGCGGAGTCTTGCTGGCAGGAACTAAGGTTCCGTTTAAATCAGGGTTTAGTTGGGCATAAGGCACCCCGCAGGCAAGGCAATCAAGATGGTGCAGTCGTCAGGTCAGCTAGTAGCTTTCATCGTCAATCCATCCGATGTCTGTTTCGGCCTTGGGAGCCACTCGGACTCTCCTCGCCCCGAGGTCTACGGCGGCACCTTCGAGGATGAGAGCTTCGACTTGTCCCATGACGCTCCAGGCCCACGGTGCCCGGTCTGGCGGGAGAGAGGGATGGGTTCACAAGCGTCATGTTTTGAAGAGGTTTTGCAATCTCCAAATGGCCCGTCCAAATGCCTGCAACAGTCAGTTTTCACAAGCAAATCGCTGTTTTTGAAGAAGGTCTTTACTAACCGTCATCATCCACTGGGCCCTGGTAATGGGATGGACCCAAAGTCTACATCGGAAATGAAGGGAGGCGTGCCTCACACCGGGCTGGCTCCGCCAGGCTTGCTGAGCATGGCCAACCGGGGTCCCAATACGAACAGTTGCCGGCCCAAGCAGAGGAGACATGTTTGTGGCACTGGATTATTGGCAAAAAAATGGATCAGGAATTTCATGGAATTTCTACCTCACTTGTTGCTAAAAAGACTTGCACATTCATCCTAGAGTGGTTCTGTAAAGAGCCTTTCTATCTCAAGTTCCTTGTTTGGTTTTCATGCTTTTTTAAGTTGGACCTTTGCGTGAAGTGTTCTATGTCGAATTCCCATTTGAATTCTGGATCTTCATGGTGTGGGTCTCGAGTAGATATTGGAGTCACGGTAAACCGTGACGAGTTGTTGCAGCTGGGTGGTTACGCCATGCGCTTCCCGCATGACTCGCACGTCGCACGAAATCCAAACGTTTCCTTCGCTGAGCGAAGCCCCGGCAAGACATATGAGCCACATCATCAACCCACTGACGATGCCATACGCATCGCGCATCCCTCGACGCCATACGCATTCGCTGAGATTCTCAGTTCTTCATCCTCACAAAGGCGCGAACATCTCGGGGTTTCCATTTTCTCGCTGGAGGAGGCTTAAGAACACTTGCCCTTATAGGAGTGTCTTGGATCTTTGAAAACCTTCACACTCCAAACCTGCAGCTGTTTTTCTTTAAACGGCATCTTTGGAAACTGAAGCATTTTTCGGCGCTCGTTTGAATGGACCATTAGAATCCATTGGAGAGAGTTCAGAATCCTCTTCCGGACCAATCATGATGATCACGATGTCAAGGAAGAACCCTCTATTTCAATTCAGCAAGTGCCGGCCCTTCCGCGAGGCGTGTCCCAAGCTAGATCTGAAACACGTCATTTTTGGGCGTGTCCTCGAGGGCATGAGCACGATTCGACGCCGTGCCCTTAAGAAAAACGGTGGACGATGCGGTCGAAGGAGGTGGAAAGTGTAGAAGACGGCCGAGAAACACTTACTTTCTTGCCTTCCAGTGAGAGAGTGAGGGAGAGTGTGTGTGGTCTAGGGACATATGCCCCTACGTTCAGGGTAAAGTGAGATAAAGATCCATGAAGTTGAGGCATTGAGGAGGTGTGTGGCACAGCTGACGCCGGCTCTGAGCTCTGTGAGAACCTCAGTGATGACGCGGGACTTCAGAAAAGTGAATGAGAGAGAAGCAGAGAGGAGCAGAGTCTAGCAATTTCAACGCGTTTCTCTAGAATAGATGACACAAGCGCCCAAAAATGTCTTAGACAGATGGGTCCATTTTCCAACCATCGAACTCGAGGTATCTCGTGCCATCTACTCCCAAATTACGGTATTTGCTTCGTCCTGAATCCACTCAGTCCTTGATCCAGGCCGTGCGCAAAAACATCATGGTGTGCTTGCCTTTCGGTCGCGGCCTTAAATGGCGTGCTTGCCACCTGGTGGCTTTGCAAAAAGCCCCCCCTTTGAACTTTTGGCACCGAAAACAGTGGCTTCCTGGGTCGATTTTGATGCATAGCAGGGCAGGTTAGGCTCATCTGAGGGTTGTGGAGTCACAGATTGCCCCCGATCCATCGAGGCCCGGCTTGGGGGACGCCAAGTCTGTGATCGTCGACTGCGGGGTGCTGGCGCGCGCGGGTTTTGCCGGATGGGCGGATGCGCAGATCGGCACGCGCAGATCGGCACGAGTAGCGCGGAGCACAAGATGAGAGGATGACATCATGTCATATGACATGTGGTCACATGTGTGTTACCCGGTGCCTGTTTATGCCTATGCCATTAACCTTTGGCATGACCGTTCTTCATGTAGGCTCGAGAGGTGAGGGTTGAAATGTACCGAACCACACGCGCGAGACTTCCGCCAGGATGACGAGGAGAAGCCTCGCGACAGCAAGCGGAGCAAGACTGGCCCATCCGAGGCGCCAGGGAGCTTGACAGAGGTGAACGGGTATTATTGTAGCCGATGGTTGCAGCTGATGGCCGATGGCCTTCTCTGTCATTCCAGGGTTGCCAGGTGTTCCAGATGTTTGCAGAAGGAACAAGGCATGCTCGCTGCGAAACGCATTGGTCGGTCGCGGGGATGTTTGGGACATTTGTGGTTCAGAGTGATGGTTCAAGGTTCAAACCATTGCTGGTCCACCGTCTTGCCAGGCGCACTTGTTCCACATCCTCAAGAAGTACAAGGGGGCCAGGAAAGCAGAGACTTGGAAAGGGGGTGAGATCACCCTCACCAAGGGCAAGGTGCGCGACTCCGACTGGGCTCACGTCATCCATTGGCGATTCGAAGCGAGGAGACCGAGGCCCCAAGGCGTCCTTCGCCCCGTCCTTTGCGCGTCAGGGCATCCTTCATGTTGACTAAATATACCGACAGCTTCCAAAAAACGAGCGCCTTACCCAAGAAGAACATGATCAGTCATCAACCACTTGGTCCCCTTTTGGTCCCCTCAAATGCTTGAACTCTCGTCCCCGGAAGATGGTGTACCGCGCTCCTCAATAAAACAGATAGCGGCATGGTTTTCAAGACATGTTGAAAGGGATCATGCTTATACATCTTATACTTGTCTATCCGACTTGATTATCATATTTGGGGCCTATATATGCCTATATACCATTGTGATGATACCCATTATGACTTGTTAAAAAATTAAATTAAACATAATTAAACCATATACCTGACTCCAACGGTCCCGCCAGGCCAAGTTGGTGGTCGAGAACCTCCGCAAGCGGCTCATCGCCTCGACGACCTTGGAGTTCGGGATCCGAGCGATCGAAGCGAGCTGAGCCATCCGATCGAAGGGAGTGAATAGACGATGGAGTTGCTCACGATTAAGAGGAAGCTTCCATGGGAGTTGCTCATCCAAGGGAGTTGCTTCCAAACCTTGGAAGCTTCGATCAAGAGGTTGAACTTCCATGCCATGACGCACACTTCCCGGATGTAACTAGCACAAAGGTGAAGCAAGGGAGCTGGGCTCATGGGTTTTGTGGCAAGCATTTGCTTGAATGGATCACGCCGGAGGGGTCAGCCAGAGCAGAGGGCCTTGCCCGGAGTGCTTTCCGGGCCTCAGAACTCATTTTGCCAGGCTTCTATTCGTGGAGCTTGCCCGGGATCATTCGGATGATCCCACTTGCAAGAATGGCAGGGGTTCTCAGGCTTCTAGTGAAAATGAGTGTCCTAGCTTGGACTCGGAGATTTTTCTGCAACTTTTTCATGGAACAGCGCTGGAATCCTGCGGAAGTCCTCACAGTCACAGCATTTTCCAGCCTACCAGCAGGGTGTAAACCCGTTCAACGATGTGCCCCGCGTTTCTGCGGTAAGGTGGAGACCTAGGAGAGGTGGAGCGTGGAAGCCTACAACCCAAAGTCGAGGAGGGGCCAGACTGCGGCCCAGACTGCTGCTGGCAGATCTGGGGGGGGCGGCGGGGCCTTTGGAAACACATAGGATATCACATAGGATAACCATTCACCAACGTGGGGAAGTTGTCATGCACCTCCATGGACCCTGTCCTCCTTAGCAAGAAGGTGATGCAAAACAACCCTTCCCATGTTCGTCAGGATTTTTTCGCTTCGACTCGACCTGACTTTGGTATCTTTGGGCAACCTGACACCCAGAATCTCGACTCGACACTTTCTCCCAGTCGGATGAGACCGGAAGACGCAGCCGCCGAAGAAGGATAAGCTGTCTGAGCGGTTTCAGCGGTTTCCGGATTCGACCAACCTGCAACACCTGGAGAATTCACACGCAAAGCTCGCAGCTCGCTCGTGCAGGAGGTGGGCTTTGCTTTGCAGCCAAAGGAGCTTTCCGAGGTCCGAGGGACCAGAACTAGACCGAATCTGGATGAGGGATGAATGTTCCAGGTTCTAAGCAGGTGCGTTCATGCGGTTTTCACCAGGAATCGAAGATGAAGACCTGCCATTCCTTGACCTGTGCACATTTCACTTCAGTTGAAGAGTTGACAGGTTCCGTTGCAGCTTGACTCCTTCTCTTCATTTTGAAGAGCCCAGGTCTTTGAGGATGAGTTTGGGGTGCACTTATTGTACCGCACATGACTCAGAGAGCGTTTTTACGTGTGTCTCATGGATTTTTTGGGTGCCTTATTGTTTAGCTGGCCAGCTGCTACCACGGCATCTGTCAGAGCTCACATTAAGACAGGAAGTCACAAAGAAAACAATGGAAAGAACTGTTTGGGACTCTGGGGAGTTTCTGATTTTGCGTGCAATCTTGATAAACCCTTCTGAATGTAGATCCCTAGGCTCCGGCTAATGCTTGGGCTCAGTGGAAAAAGGGGCCGAAGCTGGGCGGGCAGCATGGCACGGACCAGTCTTGCTCTTTTATACTTTGGTAAGATCCACTTCATTGGATTATCAGTTGTCTCAAAAGCTGACCAGTCGCCCTTTGGGACCAGAAGTGGCCAATCAGAAGGGCAAGACGGGCATGGGCCCAGTGACCTGAACCGCCGAGCCGAACCGCCTGAAGCGCCGGAGCCGAACCGCCTGAACCGCCGGTTCCTGTGCTTGGCTCAGACGAGGGAAGGGGGGGGTACGAGTGGCCAATGACCGCCGCTTCGAGTACTGTGACACCCCAATCCGTCTAGCGTCTCTCATGAGCGTTGCTCCAGCCGGGGGGCTGAGTTCTGCCAAGAGGACTACGAGGACTCAACAGGTGGCTGGAGGACGTCTGGCCAGTGCAGACATGACCTGCAAGTCTGGCCAGTGTCTAGTAAGGCTCTTTGACTCTGGTGACCTGAGCGATGACCGAACTCACAGAAAACCCACTTCCCGAGCTCTTTGACGTCGCATCAAGGCAGAGAACTTCCCTTCTGAAGGCGGCGATCGAGGCAGAGAACTGAATCCTCCTGCGGAACAGTCACTTCTGCCTTGTTTCCTGAGCAGAGATGTCAAGATGTCAAATATCTTATATAAATGTCACTGTGACACCTACTTCTCTGTTGCGTTCTAAGGGCGTGCTTTGAAAGGATTCCTGAGCCTTCCGAGGGCACGATCCTCCACTTCACATAAAGACTTCCATCACGATTCCTGATAAGAACAGGACAGGGGACGCGAGGGTGGTGAGACGCGTGAAAGACCTGCGGGCTGAAGATCATGTATGTACAATGCAGGGTGCGGTGCCACAACAGTTCTTTGACACACGAGCCAAGCATCTTGAAACGTGCGATTGGGGAGGAGGGTGGATATGGGGAGGGGGAGGGGTGTTGTTCTCATTGGTGCACTTGGCAGGAGACGCTCTGACAGAGGCTGGTGAGAGGGTCTCCGCATGCTGCATGCCCCATTCAAGCAATGGACAACATATTTTCTCTACAGTATGAGACGGCAGGGGGCCCGGGCCGTAGAGGGGGCGATTGTATATCAGGTTCCATGAGATGCCACAAGCATTTGAGCACAACATTGCTTCTGCGTTTCCATCCAGATGAGAATGGCATGGTAGCATGACTGTCCTTTTAGAGGCAGACCAGGCCTGGCCTCAGCCTTCAATATATATATATATGATATAGATTTCCTGCAGAAAAAAGGCATGTGAGACACGTACAGTTTGAAGCGCTTTGGGCATGTTTTCAGCATACAAATTTTTATTCTTCGAGACGAGGAGCACTTGACACCTGCTCCGCATGCTCCTCCAGGTGTCCTCATCCTTTATCCGGAGAAGAAGGAAGAGGCGAGGTTGCGAGGCTTTGTTGATACGAATTTGTGATGAGCACCCAGCATCCTGCACATGATAGCGAAGGTTCCCGCCGTCTGAGCGTCCGAAAGCCTTTGCCCCGAACTTGCTGCCAGATCCAGGGGCCTTTCAGAAGCCAGACACCCCGTCGGCAAGATCCCTTTTCTCACAAGCCCACTCTGGCAATGCGGAGAAAGCTTTGCCCTAAAACAGAACTGTCACCATCCCGTGCCAGACTGCTTTCAAGCAAGCTCTTATCGCTTGGTCCAACAGACTGAGGCCGTGGGGGAATGGTTGAAATCTGGTCCATGGTCCATGCAATGTAAATGGAGGACTTGCACAGGTTCAATCATGCTTTGGCCCCCATGAAATGGCATGTAGAGAACATAGTTAACATTGTTATAGTTAACAGTTAACATAGTTCAATCGGGTTCAATTTGAGAACAGGTCTTGTGGAGTGTGTGGAAAAAAGGAACTGTCCGTTGTGGAAGGCCGCTCTTGGAAAGCTTTGCCTTTCGAGTGACCTTGGTGGCATGTCTCATCTTCGCGCTCTTTGGAGGCGGATTGTAGCACGGCAGCAAGCAGGACCACAGTTTGCCAGGATGGATGCATGTCGATGGTATGAATTCGACTCCATAACCATCATCATGCTTAGAGGATATGTAAGTCCATTTGTTCACTGTGCTACAGGGGGGGCTGCCTTCCGCAAGTAAAACAGAGACTAGCAACAAGGGATTGGGTTGACTGGCACCTTCGAAACCTACTCTGTTCAGCAAAGTCCAGGCGCCATCACAAGAACGATCATATTTATGCATCAACGATTTGCAGTGCGAGGCGGCATGTGTTTTATAATAAGAAACGCCAGCTGGAAGAGCTTGGTTCCATGGAGCGAGAGCTTGCGTGCTGGTTCACGCCGCACGCCTGAGGTTTGTGATCATGGACATCCCTGATGATCCTGGGATTCCCATCCTCGACACATTGATGATTATTGTGATGATCCTCTTTGTGCTTGAGATGATCATCAACGGCATTGTTGATTACAAGACCTACCCATGGTCACCTGCACAGTGTGGGAGGGGTTGACAGGGGTGGCAAGGGGTGGCAGGGTGGGGAGAGTTTTCCTTTCAATCTCAGCCTTTGATGCGTAATGATGTGGCCTGCATGTGCCTGCATTTCACTGGCTGAGCACGGAACACGTGTTCAACTTTCCATCTTTTTGGCATGCGTACTTAATTCTTTGGCCCTGTTCCACGCCCCTCGCTTGATTCTGGATGGTCTTTGCATATGGATGCTAAGCGAGCCCATGTCCGGTATTGATACTTGAAAGAGGGGCTGCCAAGGTCCTTCTTCTTCATCATGGACGGTGTGGGCACCGTTTCGATGATCTTCGAGATCTCCACCCTGCTGGGAACTGGTGGGAAGATGCAAGTTGCCACCGGGTCAGTCGATGCGATGCTTATTCGCACTGCACGAGCAGCAAAGGCCGGGACGATTGGAAGACGATCCCCCGCGGATCCTGAAAACCACGTCGGTTGGCCGAGTAAACACATCGGATCCAGGGGCCCAGGACGTCAGGGTCTATGTTGAGTTTCCGGGAGGGTCAGCTCCCTTGACCAATGTAAAATCATGATGAAATCCATGCTCCCCAGATCTTCACTTCTCAGATCTTAGAGTTTCGTCAGGTAGGAGCGCGAGTCGGCCGTTTGTCGAAGCTTATGAAGTGCATCAGCTACTACCTGAAGGCGTTCTGCAGGGTTCTGCAGGGTTCTGTTAGAGGGATGTAGCCTGGAGCCTTGAGCTAGAGCAGATTCGGAATCTCTACGTCGTAGAAGCATGCGATCTTTGCACTTGAAAAGGAGCCAGACATCTTCCATCATTTACCAGAATTTTCGATGCCAGAGAAAGTCGGCAGATCCAATCTGGCAGGACAAGGACAAGAGGCTTGAAGAGCAGTGGTCCTCAGAACAGTCGAAGCGATTCCATCCATGACATGGATCGGAGCGTGGGCCGCTGACGGGTTTACGGATAGCGGCGGATAGCAAGAACGTCAAGGCCTAGGGGGCCTTAGCCTCAACCAATCCTTGCAAAAAGACGAACGAGCCACTAGAATCACTAGACCGCCGCTTTCAACCCAAACGCTCGGTCGACAGGTCTCATCACCTGCCCTTCGACCAACCGATCCGCAGCCGCCACCTTCGGCGGCCCCGCCAACCGATCCGCAGCAGCGCCCTCTGAGGTCGGCAAACCCGGCCGAGGCCAAGAAGCTCTCGGGCCGTTTGAAGGTCACCCTTTCCACCAAGGCATGGCCGGACGCGGGAACAGGTGGCGTGGGGGGGGCACGGGGGGCGCAGCATTGCAGCCTGATGGGTGAGCAGGTGGGAGACAGGGCTCATTGTGGAACTTCAATCAGCCGTGCAAAAATGCCTGATGCGGTGGGGGTGCTTACACTTGAAGCTGGGAATTGGGTGATTCTAGGACCTTTGCAGGGAAGACTTTTTCACAGGTGCCGTCATTGTTGGCTCCTTTTTTTTGTGACACGTTGCCTGCATGCCTGCTAGGTTTCCTTGCTCACCATCTTGCTGGTGCTGGCCATACCCTTGTTCTCCATTGCCCAGTACCCCGAGCAGGACTTGGCGGCTGGCTTATGGGGCACACCCAACAGATGACGATAACCTTTTCTAAGTTTCTCTTCAACCCTGTGGGAAGAATGCTTGGGAAGGGATTTCTTTAATTTAGACCGACCAGCTGCAGGACCTCTCCATGACGGTTTATGCGAACATGTTGGAGACCAATTACGAGTGCGGGGGCTTGGCAAAGATCGGGGTGGTCTCAAGGGCCTTTTTTTCCTTGTGTTGAAGGCAATGCGTGGTGAATGACAACTAGATTTCATGTGGCGCAGTCATGATTTTGCAACGCGAAACGGGCCCAGTGCGTTTAGAAGGACATACAGCCCCTCCACTCTTCCTGTTTCAACCTGTTTCAACTTCGGGAAGTCCTGACTTCAACGGGTTGACTTGCCCTGACATGGGAGCTTCAAGACGACTTGAAACCATCGATGGGAGTAGGACGAGTAGGATGAGTGGGACCGCGGATGGCGGACGAGGCGTGGCTACAACGAGCTGGTGGCCGATTCATCGAAGAACACCACGTCACTCTTCCAGGAGAGGGGGACAAGACTCACAGCAACTCAGAAAACACATATCTTCGGCAAGGTGCTGAGTTAAAGGTTGTCGATTTCGAACGTGTCTTTTTCTTTTTGCGTGGTGTTTTTACTGGGTGAGGCGATATTTTGCTAGCCACCATGTGAGTGGCCGTGCAAAAATGCGTGTGTTTATGCAAACTAGCGAAAGGAACAAAACCGTTGGAGCTTGGGTGAGGATTCGGTGACAGAGATGATGACCTTCTATGCCAGTGGGACTGCGAACTATTTCCCCTATCAAATTGACGGCTTTGCAGAAGAGGCCAGCCCGAGGTGGACGTGTGGTGCTCGTCTATGCCATGTCAAGCATGGCCAGAAATAAATGTCTTTGGCAGACTTTGGCATGTCTAACTTGGGCCTAGATTCCCAGCACGGCCAGCACATCATTCGTGATTGATTGCGCATGCTTCCCTACGGTCGCACGGCAGCTCCGCGGAGCGCGAGGTCACCTTGCCCGATCAGAGGGAGGTCACGATCCCGGGCACCTCGCTGCTGGCGAACCAAGCATCTCCAAGACAGCTCTCAGACGTGTACCGCATTACGGCGGGGAGGCCCCAGATTCGATTGGAGCGGCCTGTCGCAAGACACGGGCGAGACAGGCGGGCATGAAACAAAGAGGTACATGTAGGCCAAGACAAGACAAGACAGAGGACCCCTGTTGCTCTTCTTGAATTTTGTAGCAAGCTTCCATACAAATCAGAAAAACACACAGAAAGCACCAGGGAAGTAGAAAAACAAATGATCGACCCGATGTTGGACATGTCGCTTTGTGAGAAAAAGCAAACACACATGTGCACTTCGAAATGTAGATTGCCTTGTAACATGCCAAAGGAATTCAATCCCTCAACGGCTATTTTACATTTGGAATTCTAAGCCTGGTAAGATGTCCCACGTGTCCCACTTTCCCAAACCATTCCGAGGTGCAGTGCCGCTTTGAGCGTTCTCCGGGATGTCCAGGATGCTCAGCGAAAACGACACGTGGGTCACTGGGGATTGGTCCCATGTGAAGCCATTCTGGAGGTTTGTTTGGAAGCCAGGAGCCGTGTAGGTATTTGGAAGGCATTCCTTTGACAGCAAGCTTGGGCTTGGGTCATGGTGCCAATTTGAACAAAAAAGTCCAAAAGCCCAGCTAGTTTTCCAAATTTTTTATCCAGGTCCCGGCTTCCTGTACTTCAACTTCTACAGCCCGCGCCGTATCGAAGTGGCCTTGGACATGGCGGGGAGGGCCAAGAGGGACCGGCTGGGGCAGTCTTTGCCCGGCTGCAGACGGCGCGCGGTGGCTGCTTGAAGGGAACGTTATGTCGCAGTTGCTCAAGCCAAAATCATCCAAAATCAACAAGTCATTATATAAATGGGAATTTGACTTGAGACCCTCTGGCTACGTGACATTTTATGTAAAGAGGCCGAAGGATGGTGGGGGTTGCCTATGGCCTCAAGGCATCTCTGACCTGCCCAGGGCCTAGCTGCCTTCATTATCCTGCTCATGATCTTTGTGTCGGCGAATTTGAACCAAACGTTGCACAAGCTTGTTGTGCAACCCATGGTGCTGCCTTGCATGAGTTTAATGAGCCGGGTGCGTGTCGAATAGGAGTCGTTGTTGGTTGAAGTTCTGCAGCCCTTGCTTCCTGCCCATCCTCCTGCAGCCCTGAGCTGGGTGCGTGTTGCAGCCCTTGCTTTCTTTCCACATGACGGTCATGGCAGGAAAGCATGCTCTCCGTGGTCAAAGACAATGCCTCCCAGCTCCTGAAACAGTTCGGTTTGGAAGATGACATGGACAGCTGGGGCCGTGGCGTTGCCGAGAAACGGCTGTTTTCAGAACTGCCCTGCCCTGTTTCCGTTTCGGCTTGTTGAGCCACTCTGAGAGTTGGAACAGACCTGCTGGATGAGCAGTCACTACCTGCAACGAATCTAGGTTAGAACCTCCAAACAGCTCACGCATCTTTCAGCTATCTGCACGATATACAGAAGACTCAAAACTGAGCTGTTTCAAGACTCGCTCCGGCCCTTTGGGAGTCTCGAAACAGCGTGCCTCTTGGAATGTTTGGCCATATTTGGTCCTTCGTTTCTGGCTACGCCGGCTACACGCCCACTCCTAGCAGCCGGTCATTGTCTTGGATGTATACTGTATATACATTGACTATAATGTAGGCTCTTGATGAAATGTCACCTCCCCATTGAACCATTGGAATTGAAACACCTCTTCATATGGGGGGTTGTCGGTTATCAATCAAGAGTCGAGGATCCTTGGACAGGTTTCATCCCAGCTGCTTCGCTGACCAGGAGGCGGATGAAGATCTGGAAGAGACGGAACTCCTGGAGGCAACGGTGTGAAGAAATGTTTCAGACGGAACGCCCAGTCAGTGATTTGGAGGCCACCCCCCCTTTTTTTTTTCCTTTTTCTGTGGTGTTTTTAGCAGATCGAACCAGTCCACAGAACGAGCAGGTTCTAGTTTTTCAGACGGCCGTAATTTGGAAAGCTCAAGACCTATCTTGGGCTTGATGCGGCAATAGTTGCAGAACAATGACATGTGATCGGCGGCAATATGAAATCTATTTCAATAGATCTACTTGTTGTATGTAACATGTACTTTCCCTCCCAAACCGGCCAGTCAGAACGATGGGGCCGAACATGACCACGGACTTCTTTTGGAAGGGCCTGTACTCAGAATGCTCATCATCTTCATAAACAAAAGGATACAAAAAGGATCCGAATATCCCCCATAAAATCTCAAGGCACACCGGTAATTCCACAGGGGATGGAGTCCAGGATGGAGTCCAGGATGGAGCAAGGATCAGAAAGGGTCGCCTTCCTCCCGAGTCCTTTTCGGTCACCTCAGGGCATTTTCAAGAAGTTCGCTCGCCTGGCGAGCCTGGCCGCCGGCCGCAACGAAGCGACGGCGGAGGAGCTGGCAGGCGGGGGGAACCAGTGGGCCTCGTCGACTGGTGGGCGAAGGGCGAAGGGAATCCCTTGGCCAGGTCGACTCGGCCTCGTCTGGGCCCCTTTTTGGTGTCTTACGCGTAGGGCCGGAGACGGAAGCCTGTCAAGGGGGGAGAAAGAAGGAAGGAACGCCTTCCTGCGATGGTTTGGGATGGTGTTGCTTGTTTCCAATGTTTCACCTTCCTGCGGCCTTTCTTGTCAGGTATGGATGAGTCAGCACGAGGAGTGATGATGGAAATGATGAATGTTCAGGCTTCAGCAGCAGGGACGTGGCTGTTCGTGGCTGGAGTGAATCTGCTAGAGAGTGAGAGAGCTGGCCTAGGTCCTAGGTAAGACACGGCTTCCTTAATCTCAACAGCTTTGCAGCTCTGCAGTTGAAGCCGGCTTTGTCGACATCAATTCCTATGTCAACCGTTCCCTGCCAGTCATACCGAACCACTCCGGGACTCCGGGGTGACGAGACGTCGAACCGCGCGTCTCCCATCGGTCCGCAGGTGTCCACCGTCCCAGCGGGTGGCGACGCGCAAAACACCAACTTGCGTGCGAGTGCGTGGCCTCAGAATCGCCGGGAGTTCAGAACACCCCGCGGGAGACCGAGGGTCGCGTCGCGAGAGACCCGGGGGGCTCTCTCACCCAAAGCGCAGAGAGGGAGGCGGAGAGACCGCCGGTGGAATCGGTGGGCGCTTGGAACATCACGAAAGTAGCTAGCACAAGTGGTGTCCGCCGGCGACCGCGAAGAATCGCAACGATTTTTCGTGGTTGGTCACCGGCGATGTAGACGGATTTCGACTGATTTCACCAGTTGCACGTTTTTTTTTGGGGGGTATCTAGGCCGTACTCCAAGTAATCAGCCTGTGCAGCGTTTTCGGGTGCAAAAGAGCGCCGCCCGCAAGAAGCATCACTGCTGCCAGCCATGGGTCCGTCGCCCTCCCAAACCCCCAGAAAAGGAGAACCTCTGGAACCCACTTGCCAGCCTTCTTGTTTCGGGGGAGACCCATGCCCAGAAGGTAGACTCTCTTGATTTTAAGGAAGAGGTGGTTCGATCCAAGTGCAGGGCTTGTATTATATAATCTCTACATTGCGTGATGCCATGGTCGTTTGTTCCGATTTTTTCTGGGTGGCTGGTGGATGTTGGACGTTGGAGTGTGATCTGAGGTGCCTACTCTGCTCCGACAGGATCAGAAGGCCTGGCAAAAGGACCGACGGACAGCGCAGCCGCGCAGCCAACCAAGCTGGATGTGCCACCCTTGCAGCACCAGGATGTCTATATAGAAACTTAGCAAACCTCTTCACAGGATAAGCATTCACAACACCTGTACGTTGTTCACTCATAAGGCCCTTCAATGGATGTGAGGGTTCCCCACCTTTTTTCTGAACGGTGCGCATGGGTGTGGTCCTGATGAATCTGCTGCAGCAAGTTTATGAGTACATTTGTCGTTCAGCTTGGAGGACGCTATTAAGTGGGAAGGATCAGTTATGGGATCTTGTTGATGTCCCCCTTCAGGTGACCCAGCCCCTTGGGCATTCTATCATTGTTTCAGGCTGCCGTACTTGGCAGGTGCAGAAGAAGCAAACCAAGTCACTGCATTGGTGGAATTGCCGGATGTTCCAGTGATTGCATCTCTTCCAGTGACGAGGCGCTCCCGGATTTCGGGCGATGGCACTTGCGCATATGGTGCTGGGAGTGTTGCTCTAGTCGTTGACCAACCGAGCCAAAGGACCGTCGATGCATCAGCGGAAGTGTCGTCAGGCTACTTGTAGACCCCCCCTGTAGATAGAAAAGTCGTGATCCGCCAAGATCATCCAAATGTATTGGAAAAACGTGCCACTATCTATTTGGGGTATTTGGGGACCACTCTGGTCTATGGAGTCTATCGTCTTATTACTTCGCAAATCATTACTCTGTAGTTCGACGTCCGAGCCGTTCTGGACGTTCGCGTCGAGCTTCAGCCGCGATGCTCTTCCAGGGACCTCATCGAATCGTGGGACTTAGATGTCCTTGACTTGGACACGGAGGGTCAGACCAAGGCCGGTGTACCCGAGAGGAGTGGCGGCCGGTTCGACGTCCGCGTCGAGACGAGGGACGGCGACGCCTCCCTCGTTTGGTCTTCGCTTCTTCGGGTTGTGGCTTCTTCGCGCGGAATGCGACCTGCTGGTGCTGGGAAGTAGAGTAGAGTGAAAACCCCGGCCCCTGGGATGTAGAGGATGGTCTGGACCAGGGCGCCATCCACTTCCAAGCGAGTTGCAGGTGTTTGTGACTCCCTGACCTCATCGTTTCGTGGATCGGCCGCGGACGGGCGGACCCGTTGGAAGACCGAGCAGCCGGTGGGTGGTTGGTTGTCCTTCGGAGCTGGAAACCCACGGAGCTGGCGCTCCCCAGCTGGCTCCACCGGAGGTGGCGATTCACATCTTCTTCGACTCGACGATTGGAAAGACGACTGGACGCTACTGGTCAGAGGCCGGGAGTGTGGACCGTAGTTTGGGCATGGCGCTGAGATGTCGCAACTGTATCTTCACGAGTGTTGCTCTTTTAAACTTGCATTGCACCCCCCCTGGAACTAACATAGAAGTGGAAAATGGTCCCTTGGACATGTTGGACGACGTTCGTTCCAGCGAGAGTACTTTTGTTTGGTCACTTGGATTTGATGACCTTTTCCGCCACGCGCCTTGCTGTGGAGGCGTTGACATTCAAGAGGTTTGAGAAAGTGGTGAAAGCAGGCCGCATGAACATGAAAGCGCTTTTGCTTCACCGAATCGACCGATCCTAGCATTCCTGGCTTGAAGACTGTGTTGTTGGTCGCCCACATGTCGCACTCTGAACGTGAAACTAATTCCTCAGCCAGCGGCCGGGCCACAGGCTACAACAATCTGCCCTACCACAACTACACTCACGCCTGTGATGCACCTTGGCTACCACAAGGGGGCCCCAACCTTTCCACCTCACCGCGGTTGGAGGATGGCCAGGGCTACCGTGGGACCATGTTGTTCGCCTTGCTTGTCGGCCAGTCGGGATGCGGGAAGATGGACGGGACCGGGGGTGGCACAAACATGAGTCGAATTGACTGTGCGAGAGCCAAACGCGCCTTTTCTGACTTCCTGCGAGGTCCTTCACACCGTCTACCGCATGATATGTTTGACTTCAGCGCGGACTTGGCTGGGCAGTGAGTGCCTGAGAATGGCCCACACTTCGAGGTCAATCAAAAGAACCGCTCAGCTGCCGTTCTGTTGCCCAGTTGCCTACCCTTGCCTACCTCTTGCGGGAAAACAGATGTTGATGAATTCAAACAGGTTCCCGAGAGAAATGGAAGTGCAAGGAGAAAGTTGAGAATTCAGCTAAGCACCAGAGTCACCTGCAAGAAAACCTGAGGTGTGGATATCTATGCTTTGCTAGTGGCTGCCCTTTGCCACGACATAGGGCATCACGGACGGACCAACCCATTCCTCGTCCGGGAGCTTAGATCGGTGTCATGCGTGCTTTGAAGAGCAGGAACGTTGTTGTTTGTGCTTTCTCCTGAAGTTTGGCCAGTTTAGCTGGATGTTCTGATCTGCCAATCGAGCAAAGCTAGCAGACTGGCCCGAGGTTGAGTTGGGCGATGAACTGGCCCTCCGTTACAACGACAAGAGCGGCACTTAGGGAGCCGAGTTTGCAGCAAGTGCTGCGAAGGAGGCCCTATGAGGCCCTGGCGGCCTTGATCGGTTTGTTGGAGCAGGGGGTCAGTCCTCAAAGCGTTGCTCCAAGCCCCCCAACGGCCCTGCTCAATCTCAGGTCGCCACTGGAGAATATGCACTGCGCCAAGCTCTTTGAGATTGCATCTAACCAGGAGTGAATCGCTTTGGGAGTTGGGAACGCTGGAACACTTCAAGAGGTTGAAGGCAGGAAACGCCTGTCAAGGCGCCCATGAACTCCGCGCCTAGGAGACCGATGTCTTCAAGCAGATGGACAAAGAAACCAAGAAGCAAGCTAGGCCAGGTTACAGTGGGTTGCAGGATTTAAGGCCGTGCTTGAGCATGGGTGTGGATTACGTGGTGCTTATTGGATGTTTTGCATGTTGGAAGAAGCGCAGGAAATCATTGAGCCCTTTTTGGGGGGCTTTCATGCATTTTGCGGATTAGGCTTTTATCTTCTTGATTTGGACCAAGATCCTGGTATGAAGTATGAATCATGCACGGCCTGTGATGCAAACGGTTGCTTGCCCATATGTCTTCCACCACTCCTTGTAGCTGCAGTGGTTGTCAAACAGGTGCATCCTTGTACGAAGATTGGACCGTGCCCGTTTTCGTGCAATCCTTGCAATTTGGCCACACCTACCTACTCAGAATATTATATATATTTATATCATAGAAAACATTTTTTTGCCATTATATACATAACCCTTTTAACCATCCACACAGACCGAGGCAGCCAGTTTCACAAACGGCCCGCTCAATCAAGCCGACTTGTGACTTCAGATGTGAACCAAACCAGCCTCGCCACCCTCGCATTGCGCGTCGTGCCTTGGCGCCAACATGGCCTGGGCCAGGCGGATCTGTATCGCTGCGATCTTGCACACCGACAACGTCAACCACTTTGAGATGGTCCGTGAGATCAGCAAGGCCGAGGGGCGGCCGACGCGTCGGAAGCGGGGGCGGACGCCGAACACGAGTCGTAACATACGGCAAGCGGGTCGAAGAGTCTGGGTTTTGACCCATGTGCAGATACACGTGAGCATGTGTGATCATGTGATCATTTTTTCCATGCCATCCATTTAAAGCGCCGCCTTCGACTCTGTCAGCCCACGAAATGGCAGATCTACGAAATGGCATCTGACCTCTGCGAGTTGCAAGCAAGCCAGCCTGACCTACTTCCCCAGTACACGGAGCAGGCCCGGCGGAGCCAGGGTGCAGCATGTCAAAGTGAATGAAGTGTTTCCATGACGTGGAGATATGGCAGATGTTATATTGCTCCGATTGCTCCTGAACGTTTGTGCAACGTTTGTTTGGACGCCTCGCAGTGCCATCTACTGGAACTCAGTTCAACAGGATTCGTGCCATGTGTGGGATGTGTCCGATGATTCTCGAGGCTTCCCTTTCCAATTTCCATTCCCAGGTGATGCAGAAGAACGCCCTCCAATGGATGGAGCTCTTCCTGCATTTTGCTGATGTGTCCAACCCTCTGAAGCCTTTCCCAGCTGGAGCCTCGGGTTTGCCGTCGAACCTCGAGAACGAATTCAGGTATACATATATAATAATGTACATATACATATATATGCTACCCCCCAAAAAGAACCAACGTTTTCAGACAAATTTCTTGCTTGTATGTATGTGAGAGTTGTCTTTTCTGTAGGTGATCCATCCCGTCCACCCTCGATCCCCAAAAATAAAGAAGTTATTCATATATTTTTGGCCGCCAGGAAGTACAAATTACGTTCAATTAACTCTTGATCACCAATTTTAACTTATATCAATTGGTGGGGCTATCAGCGAGCATATATTGTTATTTTGGATGGCTTTATATTATATAAAATTTCTGCTGTAAAATATATAAGCCACTAAATATGTTGACCATTAATTTCCTCCACAAGCATTCTTCATTACCAAACAAAAAGGCTGCCGTCAATAAGTTAATGGTCAATCAATAATAAACTACTAGCCTAGCAATGTAAGATTGTAAACATAATCTCCACAAAGCCATTCTATAAAAGATGGACATGGAGATAATACGTTTGTAATTACTGCAACACCCCATAAACTCATTTGTCCTAAAGGTAAGACATAACCCAGAAATGCTGTTGCCATTAATAAGAAGATAGTAATAATTCCAGAAAACCAAGTATTGGCATTATTGGGCCTCTGGGGGGTGCATAAATTTTTGTTTTTTTTGAGCCTGCCAAGGAATTTGCTATTTTTTGTCTACCCCACCTTGCAAAAACACTGGCAGGCTCAACAAAAAGCAAAAACAATCAAACGCACATAATCACAAAACCCTGGCAGGCTCAAACAATGCAAAAGACTCAAAAGTTTTGGCATCTATGGGGGCTCTGGGGGGTGCATACATTTGTGTTTTTTTTTGAGCCTGCCAAGGAATTTGCTATTTTTTATATACACCACCTTGCAAAACACTGGCAGGCTCAAAAAAAACAAACGCCCATAATGACAAAACCCTGGCAGGCTCAACAAAAAGCAACAAAAACAAAAGTTTTGGCATCTATGGGGGGTCAGGGGGGTGCATAAATTTTTGATTTTTTTCAGACTGCCAAGGAATTGCTATTTTTAATATACACCACCTTGCAAAAGCACTGGCAGGCTCAAAAAGATCAACCATTTATACACCCCCCAGACCCCCCATAGATCCTAACACTTTTGTTTTTTTTTTGGTTTTTTGAGCCTGCCAGGGTTTTGTGACTAGGGCCTTTTGATTTTTTTTGGAGCCTGCCAGTGTTTTTTTCAGTTTTTGGTCTACCCCACCTTGCAAAAACGCTGGCAGACTCAAAAAACATCAAAAAATTATACCCACCCAGAGCCACCATAGATACTACAGTATTTTTTTTTCCCCAAACAGTTTACTGTTAGGGGTTCTCAATGCTTTAAAGAATGGTCGCCTTGGTGCTGGATGGTCTGGTCGGGTTCCCGGCCGACTTGTCTCCCACTTCCTTTCATTTGTCTCCCAGTTCTTTTCATTTGTCTCCCAGGCTGGGTGATTGTGGTCGGGTTCCCGGCTGGCTTGTCTCCCACTTCCTTTCATTTGTCTCCCACTTCTTTTC